GTTCCCAGGAGAAGTCTGTGTCCCTGGCTTTGGGAACTGGTCTGTGCCTGGGACTTGTGATTAACAGGTTACACTTATGTCCCCCGCCAGTCTTCGATGCCCTATTCTCTGCCTTGGTAGGAATCGCAAGTGTCTCAACCAGCTAGAGTTGTCCTTTTACAATGAGAGTTAAATCTGGTCACTCTGGAGCTCTGGACTTTCCTATGTTTTCCTATTTCTTCCAAGATAGATTCCAAAATCAGTGGCTCGCTATCCCCCGCAGGATCTGCCCTGCTGCCTGCACCGATCCTCTCATATTGTATTCCATCCACGCTCTCACGCTCTGGACTCCAGCCACACGGGTCCCCTTGCTTTCCTTTAAGCATACCGTGTGCTCTGTTGCCTCAGGGCCCTCCTGCCTGCAAATGTTCCCTTCCGCTGCCTCCACTCTCCAGGGGCCCACTCCCTTACCCTTGCTGTGACACTTCTCTTATTATTCTATGAAAATGACAATATCCCCCTCCCAGCACTCCTTCAATTTTAACTCTTATTTCCCCCTGAGCACACTGTTGCCAACTCCCATCCCACCTATGTGTTTGTCATTTGGCTTCAAATTGAATGCAAGCTCTTTAAAAGCAGAGCTGCTTCTGTCACTGCCATATCCATGGGCCTGGGAGGTCCCGGGCACAGCAGGAAGTCAATAAACACAAAAAGGATGCATGGACACCAGGCAGTGCAGGCTCTGTGCTCAGAGGCTTGCCTATGTTCTTTTATCTTATTCTTATTGCAACCTTATGAAGCCTCTATGAGCCCATTCAAACTGTCATCTCATTTATACAGGATAAACAGGCTGAGAAAGAAAATAATGCAAATAATCTAAGGTCACAGATTAAGTGGCAGAGTGAGAATCTGAACCTGAGTGCAGATGTCAGAGCCTGCATATCACAAGCACGAGTGCCTGAGATTTAACATAGCACTGGGCTTAGAGTAGAAGCTGTTTCTATACTTCTCAGAGCCAGGGAGGTTGCTGAAACAAAAAATCATTTCTCATTTGGGGTTTGCATGCCGGTGGGGTGGGGGCACCCTGACGCTCATTTTTATGACCAGGAGCAAGCTTTCGACTAGACCTATACAGATGAGTGGACCTGGAAAAAAACCAGAAATCCTCACCCTATAACCTTCTTTCACCCCAACAAAAACAACGTACAGCAGACAGAAACTCAGGAAGGCAAAAACTGGTTATGAAAACGTACCAGCAGAGGGCGGCAGTTCCAGTCCACTGAACTCACACAAGAAAAAGCTGCAAGACAATGCAAAAAAGAAAATGGACCAATGGGAGTCTACACCCTGGATCCCTTCCTCAGCTCACATTGGATTTTTTTCAAGGGTCAGGCTAGATGATTTGTGCTCTCAGGAAAGCCAATGGTCACCCACATAGGACTGGGTCCAATAGCCCAGACCCGAATGCAGTATACAGAACCCACAATGAAGTGACTGTCATCTGTTCCTTGATTTGCTTAACTAGCATTTACTGAGCACCTGCAGGAATCAGTGTGATTTCCTAGAAAGCCACAACAGTGATTAGATTCCTAGGCTAGTCCCCAAAGACCTCTTACATCTTTACTATAAAGAAAATAAAACCAGTGAGTATTTTTTGTTCTAGGGACAAGTAGCATGTGGAAAAAAGATATGAAGAAAAAAGAAAGGGTAAGATGCATAGAATTCAGAGCACCCTGGGGGAGAGGAAGAAAGGTTGAAGCTTGGTCTCTTCCCAGTGTACATAAAATGAACCACAGCAAGTTTTGCTTTGGTGTCCTCCCATTTCCCTTTGTAGACCCCGACCTGGAGTCCTCAGATTGTGGGGTACCCCCCATGCTCCTTGACGCCCCTACACCGCCTGCACAGCTTCTGCTCTCCTGTTCTTGCAGCCTCTGCTTCCTGCAGTGCTTCCCAGCGCACTGGTGGCAGGAGAGAAATCCACGAACCTGATGTACCCTGATACATGAGAGTAGACCTCAGGATGGGACATTTGCATCTTTTAGAACAATCTCCAATTGAAAACCTTCCAGGCAGTGGGCTGGAAGGAAGTGGCAATTTCAGGATGTGTTGAGGATGGTGTTGGGGAAGCAAGACCTGAGTGCCTTCCAGGGGCACCCGTCTCCCACCGTTTCCTGGAGGAGCTGCCAGGAACGACATCAAGGGGTGGGGGCTGGCAGGGAAGATCACTGGCAGGTCAGGGACTTGCAGTTTGGGCAAATCTGAGCTGTTCCATGCAGGCACGACAGACTTCTGCACAGTTCTCTTAGTGCACTTTGATGAGGCCAGGGAGGTCAGCTCAGGAAACAGAATGCTCTGGGGCAAGACGGTAGAGAACTGCTGAGCTGGGAGGAAGGGCCTCCTGTGCCAGCTGCAGGCCGGACTCTCCAGGGTCACCACCAGGGAGCCCTCCTGGCCTAGTGTGGCTCTTGGCTCTTGTCCCCAGCAGTCTTCCCTGCAGAACAGATGGCTGAGCCGCCAAACTGCCCACGCAGCAGCCCCTGCTGTGAGCCCTACCCAGGAAGTCCTGCTCAGCCCCTGTGGGGTGGCTGAGGTCTAAGGGGTTGGGTCTTCCTAAAGGGCCAGCTGGGGGAAGGTGATGAGATGGACAGGGCAGGGAGGGCAGTTCTGACGGGACCACTGTGAAGGCCAAGTCCTTTCTTGCAGCCTCTACTACACAAACCTGCTCACCCTAGCAGCCCATCTACCTGCTGGTTATTTCTTTGAAAAGCTCTGCTGGCTGTGCAGAAAGGGGGGAAAGCAGGGAAATCTGTTTGCTCATCAAGTCTGGTAGAAGTAAATGTGGGAATCTGCTGTGAAAATTTTTCTCTTTCTTTCTTTTTCTCTTTCTTCAGTTCTAGGGATGGAACCCATGGCCTTATGTATGTAGGCGAGTGTTGTACTGCTGAGTTATATATCTAGTCCTTTTTTTATTGTGGTGATACCACGGCTTGAATCCAGGGCCATCATACTGAGCTAAACCCCTAGCCTGTTTCTATTTTTTGAGACAGGATCTGGCTAAGTTGCTAGGGTTCCCAGGCTGGGTTTAAATTTTCAATCCTCAGCCTTGTCAGTCAGTACCTGGGATTCAGCTATACACCACTATATCTGGTTGCCTGCTAACTTTAAAGCTGGGATTTTCCTAACATACTCATATCTTTGCTAATGCTGTGCTCACCACAGGGAACATAAATTTTATCTCTCAACGCATCAGCCATCAAAACTAATATACACTGACACATGTTTAGAGTGGGGGATGACAGAAAGGACTGTAGAGTGTTGATAGTATGCCACTCTTTTTCGGTACCAGGGATCAAACTCACGACTGCCTGCATGTAAGGCAGGCAATTATGCCGCTGAGCTAAATCCCCAGCCTCAATAGTATGCCACTCACTCTTGATTGGGGAAGAAGGGATATAGGGGTGTGTTTGTGTAAAACACTTCAAACCAAATATATAAAGTAGTCCAATTGCTTTGGAAAACAATGTGGAAGTCCTCCCCCCAAATCTGACATGGTATTACCATGTGACACAGTTTTCTACTCCAAAGAATCAAAAATATATATCCATGCAAAAACATGTATGTGAATGTTAATGGCAATGTTGTCTATAATTGCCAAAAGATGGAAACAGCTCAAAAGTCCATCCACTGATGACACATGAATAAATAATGTGGTTTGTCCACACAACTGAGTATTATTCAACCATGAAAAGAAATGAAGTGCTGGTAGATGCACGGTGTAGATGAGCCTTGAAGACTTTACACTAAATGAAAGAAACCGATCACAAATGATCACCTACTGTATGGTGTCATTTATATGCAAACTTCAGAACCAGCAAATCCACCAAGATAGGAAGCAGGTTAGTGATCGCCTGCAAGGGGACAAGGGAATGACTGCTAATGGATATGGAATTTCTTTAGAGGGTGATGTCATGTTCTGGAATTAGCTAGTGATGATGACTGCACAACTCAATATTCTAAAAACTTTAAAAGGGTGGATTTTACAATGTAAGAATTATGGCTCAAAAAGATCATCACTACTGCACAGGGTGTATGATCCATACCGTTTGCTCTATGTAGTGATACCTCAATAGTAATTTCTTAAAGTTAACTTTAAAATTGAAATTACCACTATTCTGTTGCTCTGGATACTGATTTTTTAAACCCCAGATACTGTCACAGCAAAAGTGCCACCTCCTCCTCTGCTGTTGCGCTGTGCTGAACTCCTTGGGCATTTAGTGTCAACAGCCACTGATTACTCAATGCTGGCAGAGCCTGGCCCCCAGAGTGCGCCCCGTGGTTCAGATCGCTGGCATCACCCCGTGCTTGTCAGATGTGGCAGGGTCAGAGGCGGCCTAAGCCTACAGAATCAGACACCACACTTAACCAGACTCCCAGGCAGTCGAGTGCACATTAACGTTTAGGGGCACTGCCCTAAGGTCCCCCGCCCGCACCTGCTACCTTCCGAAGACATTCTAAGCTCCCTACACCTATGTCTGTCTATCTGACCTGTGTGTGCTCATAAACACTTGATTCAGCACTCACACATTATTCCTGTGAGAATGCTGGCTGATCTCAGCACAAAAGCCAACACCCACTCTGACTTTAAGATGAAGATAAAGAGACTAAAATTAGCGGGCACTTTGATCAGATAAAAGAATAGGAAAGCTGACCTCAGAGTGAAATCTCCAAAGCTGTTTCCTATTAAAGGGAATCAGCACTCCTTGGAAAAAAATTATTGCTCTAGATCTGGGCAGAAAATATACAAGATGAAGCTTGTACAAGTGCATGGCATTTGGGTCTCTAAAGGATTCAGGAACCAACTACAAGAGATTCCTTCTGGCTAGAATGCGGCTACTGAGCATCGATATTTTAACAAAACACCTCAAACATGTCAAATCCATTCATTCACAATGATCCTAAAAAGAAAGCAAAACTCTATTTGCTGTTAAAAGATGTTAGGAAATCATCATTCTTCTGGAAGTGGTAAATAAATGGGGTAAATACAGCAATTACCCTGAGTATTCAATATAGGTAAATATCTGATTCTCTCATTCCTCCTTTCATATGAAATTTCATATGAAACATACCAAAATATTTTGAAATGTTTAATGAGCAAAAATAATTTTGAAATGTCTTATGAACCAAAAGTATTCAGGCATTGATTATCTATAGCGTCTAATATCACGGGAAGAGCCAACCACTCTGTGCCTCTTGCTCGAAGGAAATCCTGCTACTAAAATCAAACATGAATGTAAGTCAGCTTGAGTGTCAAGTGCCAATTTACAGGAAAGCCAGGGACAGAGAGCTTGTTAAACTATATCACAGCAAACTCTATATTGTAGGCAAATCTACAAGATAACCCAGTGCTTTCAACAAATAAAGTCCAAGAAAAAAAAAGAGTAACCTGTAGACTAAAACAAATTAAAATTTTAAAAAATATTCATGTATGACAATTTTGAGGCAATTAGGAAATCTGAACATTAGGAATTATTTGTTTTGATGTATGATGACATTGTAGTTATGATACCAAAAGTATATTGAGTGATTTACAGATGAAACAGTGTGGTTTCTGAGATTTGTTTAGAATCATAGAAGATAAATAACAGAAGGTGGGATAAATTGATGTACATGGATTTGGGGTTGATTAGGCCTCTGGGCTGGACAGGTGTGTGGTAGTTCATGATATTATTCTGTTCAGTTGGATGTATGCTCAAAAGTCTCTAAAATTAGACTGAGGTATAGCTCAGTGGTAGAGTGCTTGCCTGGCATGCAGGAGGCCCTGAGTTCAAGGCCCAGCACTGCTCTCCACCAATAAAAATTATCTAAAGCTAAAGGAAAGATGATATATACAAAACAAACACAAATATGTAATATATAACAAAATATTAAGAGAAACAAAGCAGAATTTAAGGCTTCATAACTATATAACAACAGTAAAATGAACTTCCTTCTCATTCACGACCTACTTTTCCATTGTAGGGTTTTTATAATGCAGTAGTTTTCTTTGGGAAGTGTTTTAGAAACTGATACTCTTGCTTCACAACCCAGAGACTCAAAACAGAAATTCAGAAACTACTAAAACCAAGGAGAAAGCATTAGACACAGAATTAATTATGGAATAATTCTGGAATTCATCGGAGTAATTATGAGCATAGTTGAATTCACCAGTGGAAGCCATGAATGAGCTGCAGGTGTGTTGGTGACTAAGCAGGGCACGGAAAGATTGTGTCTTGTTTAGCATCCTCCTCGCAGTGGTCCTCATTCACCACTGCACAAAGAATCATGCAGGGAGCCTGTGAAATACACAGATTCCCAGGCCCACCTGAGAGCAACTCAATCAACACCTCTGCTAGAGGATGGGGGCTTGGGGGGGTGCTCTGAGTGATCTCTTGTGATTGGATTCCCTGCCAGTGTTGAGACAGACATCAGGGCAGGCAAGGTTGGGGTCTGTCTATATTTGCACACAGCTGGGTAAATGAGGGGGAAGCAGTGGAAGCCATTGCTGGGTAAATGAATTGAGTTGATAGGTGACAGTAGGTCTCACCATTTTGTTTGCTGTGAATCACGTGAGGTCATTCGGAGCCACAGTGTCTAACCTGAGTCATTTTTTTCTGAGTCTCTGGGGTGTGGCTGAGATCCCATTAGGCAAAGGTTGGCCCTGTGTAAGGAACTGTGGGTTCCTTTGGCTGCAGGTTTTGAGTGCATATCAGGTACCAAAGGTAAACAGCTGGTCTGCATGACAGTGGGCAGGGGAAGACTGTGGGGTAGAGAGGATTGGCCACCAGCCGTGTGCTGGGCTGTGAGTCAACTCCCAAGTTAACACCAGTGCTAAGCCCGGGCACCATCTCAGAGCCAAGGAATCCTTCCCTCAGGATCTGAGTCTGGTACTGAGTAGTAACTGCCGGAGCTATGGCAGAAAGCTGAACTGGCTGACTGACAGCGGACAGAGAGATTCTAGTATACCTGGCCGTATACTCGGATCCCTGACAACTGGGACCGAGGGAAGAGGCAGCTCACATGCAGTTGGTGCACATCATGGGAAAGCTGGATGCAGGCTTCTCAAGTTCTTCTTTCAGACACTGGCTTGGCACAGGGCAAGAGGCCTCCATGCGGCCTCGCTGTGACTCAGCTGGGATGAGTGGTACTGGGTCTCCTTCCTGTCACCTGCAGGATCATCTTGGCTCCAAGGGAAGAGGCCTACCCCATACAGGAGATTTCTAACTAAGCTGATCTTACCACACCTCTCCTGCTCGGCTTCCTCCACGTAGTGTGACCCTACCTTTAAACCTGCCCTTTGCCTCAGCCTTACAGGGTTACCAGCTCTGACCACTGGCCAGCTCAGAACACTCATAGCTGCAGAGCATGGCGGCCCTTAGCCTGGTCTCCTCCCTCTTAGGGGTCCTATGAGGTATATTAGGGCTCTTCCCTCTCTGGCTTTGGCTTAGAATCTGATTACACAAACCTGCTATCAGGTGATGGTAAGACAGGGCTCTGCAGCCTCTTAACCGACTGGTCAGTGAGTTCAAACTCTCATCTGGCAGGCATGTCTTTAGTGGAGCAGGGGCCATGAGAGATATGGTGGTGAGGGTGCGAGGTGAGGTCCATGGTTGCGAAATTGGGACCGTTTTCTGGAGGAGGTGGAACCAGATGAGAAGAAAAAGCAGGATGCAGTTTCTGTGGTGAGAAATGGGGAGAGTGGACAGCTATGTGTGGAGAAGAATTGGGCAGGGGTGCTGAGAACCCTCAAGGGTAGGAAATACTTCCAATATTTAACCACAAGCCCTGCCCTACTAGCATCTGGTTGCTGGACTGCAGGGACATCTTGGGGGGGGAGGGGTCCTGGAAAGGACTGAGGATGGGCAGATGGCAGGTGCTGGAGGCGCAGGATTGGGGCAGCAGCTGTTTACCAAGTGGGCTGGGAGAGGTTCACTGTCTTAATAACTGTAAGTAGGCAGACCATAAATAGTGTGCACAGTGCAAGCCCGCCATCCCTATGGGCAGGCACCCCTGTGTGAGCCTGGCACTCAGGCTCTCCGAGGGAGCCAGGCGTTCCCTTTCCTGCAGGACACAGTTGTAAGTCAGCAGCCCCATTTCCTTCCTTCTTGGAGAGGTCAGCACATTCCTGTACGGTGCGGAGACCCTCTCGAGTACCTGCTGGGACTCTCCTGTCCTCGCCAGACCCTGCACACCTCCATCCAAGGACTCTGCAGCTTTCACCTCAGCCACTGTCTTGTGACTCTCAGTCTTCCTTGTGAATCCACCTCCAGTTTCTGTTGCTCTTGTGAAGTCAGAAGAAATTCCTGTGACAGCAAGAATACAAACAGACTTGTCAAACCACATGTAGAGCCAGAAAAATCCAAAGGTTGTCACTAGGACATGACAGTTGTTACGACCTTTGTAAACTGGGTGTGGTTATGCACAGTCATGCAGGCTGGGAAGCGCGCAGGGTCCAGGGCAGGCTGGCTGCCAGACTGTGCCACAGGACCTTGTGTGCTGCCTTCACCCCTGGTCTTGGTCCCTGCACCAGTCCACTGGCAGCTGGAGCTCCCTCCTGGCTGGACCAGGACTGGAAGCTTGGGAGCTGCTGCAGGGAGGGCGGAAGTGGGGCCCCGGCTCTTGCCGGGACTCACTAACCAGAGTTTTTCCACAAGGCAAGAGCAGCAAAAGCCTATTTTATACTAGAGAAGCAACTTTGTAGATGGAGAACAGAGGACTGAAGTTCTCTACATTTAGAGAATAGCCAGATTAACAGCATCACATCTCATGGATGAAGAAAGAGACCAAAAGACTATTGGTTCATTTTCCTCTTCCACACAGGGCCACATCAGACCAAACATGCAGATGCAACACAGCAGGGAAGTGGGCGCAGAACCTCCTGTGGCATTCACAGTGTCTCTGTTCTCACTCCTGGGAGGTTTGGGCCCCTACCCCACAGGGAGACTAAGAGGCTCTGGCAGGCCTGCTGAGATGAAGTGACATTTGCTAGTTGAAGGGGAGCTCAAAATGGATGCTGCAAATTTCCTGGGGGCCCGTAAGTACCCTAAAATCATAGTGTTTCATGTGTCATTTTCCTGGAGCAAGTGCAGAGCCATCACGGGACCCTCATGACAAGAAGCACTACCTAGAACAATTCCCGACACTCGGGCCCTGCTGGGATGCTCTAAAAGATCAGCCTCCCTCCCAGTCATTCACATCAGGCATGTGATTACCGCTCTCCAGCCTTCATCCCTCTGCCTGTCCTCCCCTCTGCGTTTCCTGCTCTAATCTCAAACTCTCCCACTGTCACCCGGCCGCGCTCATACGCCCAGCTGCCGAACTAAGGCTTGCTACTTGGATGCTCAAAAGGCATCTCGGTCTGCACATCGCCAAACCAGAATACCTCTTTGAGCCTTGTCGTCTGTCCTCACTGCCCAGAATACTGCCACTGAAGAGGAGGTGGACGCAGGGACTGTTTTGCTATCAGTGATAAAAGTAAATTCCTGCAAGAAGGTGGCACCTGGATGGCATTTAATTAAGGGACTACTGGCATGGCGAAGCTAAAACAAAGAGAGAAGCTGACAAATAAACAGGTAAGTAGGATGGTGGCTCATGCCTGTAAGTCGGCACTCTGGAGGCTGAGGCAAGAGGATTGTGAGCTTGAGGCCCACCTCGGCAACTGAGTGAGTTTAAGGCCAGCCTAGACCCTGTCTCCAAAAGAAAAAGGAGAGACACAGAGCAAAAACTGGGAGGCTGAGGCAGGAGGAATGGAAGCCCAAGTTTAGCAACTTACTAAGACCCTGTTTTAAAATTTAAAACAATAAGAAAGGACGGGGTTGGGAGATTTAGCTCACCGTGAAGATTCTGGGTTCAATCCCTGGTACATAGGGGGAAGGTACATTGTTTATTCACAGTGACCCGGGGAAAGGTACATTGTTTACTCACAGTGACCCGGGGAAAGGTACATTGTTTATTCACAGTGACCCGGGGAAAGGTACACTGTTTACTCACAGTGACCCGGGTTCCTGTGAGCGCCGCTCTGCGGCGATTTGGTTCACCATTAGAGGCTTAGTCCTCATCTTAGAGCAGCGGAACCTTTAAGCGGCGGACCCTGTAGTCGGAGAAAGCGGCGCCGGGGAGCCCGCCTCGCAGGGCACACGGCCCCGCCCACTTCCTCCTGTCGCCGCCTCAGGCGTGCGGAGGTGAGCCGCGCCGCTGGCACGCGTCTAGGCCTTCGTTCTACAGCGACACAGGGGCCCAACTATGCGGCCACGCCGCCGTGGCGGAAGCCTCTGAAACTGCGAGCCAGGGTTAGCCGTTTCCCTGACTCGGCTGAGCCTCAGGTATTCGGTCCCGGCTGAAAGCTGCCCGAGAGCCTGCCGCAGGGCCCCCGAGCGCGGCCTTCCTGCTCCCGGCGGCGCTCCGCCACCTCCCGGCTGGGCGCAGCTCTGCAGGCCGGAGGGGCCGCCGGCTACGCCTCCTTCTCCCTCCCGATGGGCTCCCCCAGGCAGGGGCCGCTGTCTGCGGGAAGTGCCCCTTCTCTCTCCGGGGACCGGCCGAAGAGGGCAGGAGCCAGGGCCGGCTGCCCCGGCGGTGGGCGGGCGGCGCGAGGCTGACGAGAGCTTCGGAGAGCGCCTGGCCCCGGACTAGCAAGACGCCTCCGCGGACGGTCCTGTGGGCCTGGGGTTCTAGAGGAAACAGAAGAGTGTTTGGGGGTGGGGGAATTGACTCGCTTCTGGGGGCCATCAGCAACCTTAAACGGAGCGCTTGGCGGGGCGCGGGCAGCCTCACTCCTGCTGCGCCCGGCAGAGGAGCGAGGGAGGGAGCCGGGCCGTGCCGGGTGCAGTTCCCGCTGAGGCCACTGGATGGCGCGGGCGCCGCACTGTGCGCCCGCCGACCGCGGGGGTGGGGGTGGGGCTGGGGGTGCCCACGCCCACGGGAACCCCGCTTTTGCTTTCCAGCAACTGTCCTTGGGGTTTTGCCTCAGGAACAGGCTCTAAGGTTGTGTAGACCACGGATGGACCGCAACAGAGTTCAGGAGGGAGGTTCTTGTCTAGTGTTGGAAGGGCATTTCTTATCGATATGAAAAGTTATATATTTAGTATACATGATTATTTATATGCACATATATGTAGTAAAGGGTCTGAACGAAGCTGTTTCTCATAAGCTCTTTAGTAGCATGTACATTACATTCTGTAATAGAAAAAATTTCTTATTTTCCAGCCATTTTTATAGAAATTGCACTCTGCAACCACTTCAGTTTTTTTTCTTTAATATGGGAATTCTACTCTGAGCCTGAACTACCCGTATTTCTTTGAGCTACCTAAACTCCATATTTCAGGCTGTCAATCATTGTTTCTTTAACCTTCTGTATCCCTGTAGAATTAGAGGGGTAGTTTTTGTTATGATTTTTGGAAAAAAAATTAGAAAATGCCTGAATGTCTTCATTGGGAGAACTTATTAAAGTAATCATACTTCTCTGAGGTTTATTTTCCATCACAACTCAACCTTGCATCATAAAAAGATTGGTAGACAAATCATACCAAAAGTCCAGTTTTTTATTATTGCATTTTTAAAAGCAGTGTTTTCTTGTGGCCTTGATAATACAAAGAAGGATAATTGTGAGAGTGAGCCAACAGCACCTCCTCTGGGGTGTTGGTCTCTCGTGACCATGGGAGGGTAACTGCATAGGAAGGAGCTGTGGCAGAGCGTTAATAAGGTAGAAGGTAGAAGGCTGAGCTGCTGCCTGGAACCCTTCAGAGACGAAACAGTAACTAGGCCAGACAGGCCTGTTTTCACGCTTTGAGGGAAAAGTGAGAAATGGAAAATTATCTCTTTACCTTCCCAGCAAATACAGGCCCTTGCTCAGAATTTCCTCTGATTCTGCATCCCTGAGACACCAGCCGCCCAGTTGCATGGAGTTGAACCCAGAGAAGCTCAGCTTTGTGAGAGTTCAGTAAAATGAATGTTTTTGCAGTTTTGGGGGCCGGTGGGTTCCTGGTGAGCTAACTTGGGGAGGGGCCTGGCTGAGCTCTAGCTACTCCCACACAGCCTTCTGGATTGCTGTGGAGAGCTTTTCAGCCACCAGCTAAAAATCGTGTTTTAAATTTGGTAAGGTTTTTCCAGTACTTACTGAGGAAAGAGATGACATTTGGAGAGGGTTCACTTGCTGTAATCATCTCTACTCCAGCTGTGAAAACCACACTTTGGCTACATTTGCCAATAAGCTTTCTGCTGCTGTGGCTGCTGGTGACCCCCAGACCCTGCAAGGGGATTGAAACAGGAGTTTCCCACCTCCAAGCCTGAGCACAGCTACGGATTATTCAAGACATTTTGACTACCTACTGAGCTCCAGCTACACAGTTCCTCTTCAAACATTCCCATTATCCCTGAGATTCTGTTAACCATGAAGAAAGCAAGGCTGAGGGAGGGTGAGAGACAACCCCAAGTCATAGCTGCCTCCTGAATGAATGAGAGGTGGCTCACTTGGGCCTCTAGGTGTCAAGGGCCCTCACTGACTGAGTGTGCTGTGGAGGACAGTAGCACTCAGAGGAGCAAGTCTGTCTGGGATGACTCTGCGTCCAAGCTCTTCCTACTCTATCCCTGCCTCCAAAGATGGAAAGCCAGGACAGAGGTGGGGGTGTGCTCAGTGCTACAGCGCGTGCTTAGCATGTGTGAGGCCCTGGGTTCAGCCCACAGCACCAAGATAAAGCCAGAACACTGTTCTTCAGCTTTATAAATTAAAGATCCAAGAATCTGTGTCTCTTACCCTTTCATGCTTTAATTGCAAAGCCATTTAAACCTGTTATCATTCATACCCTACACAAAGAATAAATTGTACTGTTACAAATACAAACATTACAAAGGAGGTCTGCACCCAGCCCACAAAGAAGACAGAAGCTCCAGGGCAGTTACACAGAGTTTTATTTATCTCCTGTCTCCTCTATGGCGTCCCAGATGGGTACTTTAGGGGCAGAGACTGGGAAAATTCAAACATTTCCACTGTAGTTTGTTACTTGTCATAACACCTGCAAGTGACAGAAGGAACAATTCTGGGCCAAGCAGGGAAGGTCGTGTAGAGGGTGCCTGTTCGGTGCGGACAAACAAAGCAACCTGTTATATACAGCATGTTTTGCTTTGAAAACCTGAAATTTTCATGCCCCTTAAACATGGCAGAACTGATCTGAAAATCTTAGCATTAAGCATTTTTTTAAATTTGAAAAATCAGCACATGTGACCAAGAGGAGGAGTAGGAGTGGTATTTTTTTAAATCCATGTTTGCAGTTCATGTCGTTTTCGGTTTATCTTGGGGAATGGACACAGGCATGTAACAGCTTGGTTTTTTTTTTTCAATCCCCTTTCCCCAGAAGTGGCCTTAAAAGTTTGTCTTCACTTTGTGGGCCACAAAAGTGACATGGCAGAAAACAGCTCTTGTCAGTTTTCCAGACAAAAGGAAAAGATGAAAAGGCAATAACTAATGAAAAGAAAATCTGTGATATGACTGACAAGGTGACGAAGGCGTGAGGTGAAAAGGCTGTCCTGGATTCTGATAGAAATGGGAAGAACAGGTCTCCATCTGAGCCATGGTTCAGACTGTCCTCCGGGAAGGCTGCTTCAGCAACACCAGTGCCTAAGCTCTTTCCCTTCTCTCAATTCACCTACAGTTTCTGTAATACAGAGAACATGCTAGCGTGCTTTAAATAATCCACTCTCTTGTGTTTGACTGAGCTGCTCTTTCCAATACAGTGTAGGGTCAGAAACAGCATTTACAATGTGAAAAAAAGAGCTACCAAGTATTGAATCTTTGCCTTGGGGGCAATTCTGAAGGGGTAGGGCCTCAGTGCTCCCTTCTGGAACATTCTACAGGGTCCCAGGGCATCAGAGGCCCCTTCCCAGGTCTGTTTTCCCTGTGAGGAACCATGTTACCATTGTACATAACCCTCTATCCATGGATTAATAACTGAGACTGGATAATTTTTATTTTATTTTATTTTTGTACCAGGGATAGAACTCACAACCTTATGCTTACCATGCAGGTGCTTATGCTGCTGAGCTAAATCTCCAGCCCTTGAGACTGGGTAATTTTTTAAATAGCAGAAATTTATCTGAGGTCTGAAGCCTGGAAGTCCAGGTATGATGTCCAGCAGGTGTGGTGTCTGGTGAAGACAAGGTGGTGGCAGTTCCTGCAGCCTCTGGAGGTGATGAATGTTATATCTTTGCATGGCAGAGGGATAGAAGGGGACAAAGATTCCCAAGCTACTCCCTCACTGCCTCATGTAAGGGTTCTAATCCTCTTGGAGGGTAGAGCCCTCTCGACCTAGTCACCTTCCAGGCCTCACCGCTGAATCCCGTTGCACTGGGGACTGTTGCAGCATGGGTTGAGAGTCAGTATCCTGGCTGTGGCGTTCATCGAGCCTGCCCCTGTGTCCGTGAAGGGAGGTGGGCTTTAGACTTGAGTGCCAGGGACAGTCACCCTGTGCCACCTCATTCTACCCTGAAGTTCCAAGGAGACCACGGAGTCTGCATTTGAACCAGACTTTTCAGGCTCCTGTTCCTCAGTGGAACTTAGACAATGCCAGCAGAGGTCCATCTGGTGCTAGGAGAACTCTGGACAGAGGAGGCCTGGCTCAGAGTAGGAGGGCAGAGAGAGGCCTCTTGCAAAGGATTGAGGCCCTCCAGGTCCCCGCTCGAGGTTGAGGCAGCCTTGGGAAGTCTTGACCACTTTAGTCCCTTCAAGTCTGTTTAATTGCAATCTTGTGATTGCTATCACTTATCTGGGGCCAAGCAACGAGTTGACCAAATAATGAAATGCTTAGCTGGCTTAACAAAAAAACCATGGAGACTTGCTAAATAAATTAGGAAAAACAAAGTGGAAACTGCAGATCCATGTAACAAATTCAAAGACTGTTTCAAGATGGAATTAAAGAACGGAGTTTAAGGGAAAGGAAGTGGTTAGGAGGGGAACAGCTGACACTGACCTGGCTATACCAAAGCTCTCCCCCAAAAACAAATGCATGGCTCTGTGGTAGCCATTCTGTGTATTGTTCCATTGTTTTGAAGCGTAGCATAACTTTGTTCCTTTAGATCCTTGTAATTTTAAATGTGGGTAAAAGTGAACATAGTCCGGTTAAACTGAAGTTTTCTTCTACATGGCTTAAAAGAAAAGGTTTGCTAAGAAAATCTAGAGGGCAAAGTGCAAGAGAATGTTGGGGTTACTTAAGAAATCAGCTCTGAGCTGGGCATGCCTATGCCTATAACCTAGCATTCAAGCTGGATGAGAGGAAGATTGCAAGTTCCAGCTCAGCCTGGCCAACTTAGTAACTCTGTGAGACTCTGTCCCAAAATTAAAAATAAAAGGGAGTGGGAGCACTAGGGAGTTAGCTCAGTGCAAAGGCCCTGGGGTCAGTCCCAAGTACTGCAAAAGGAAAAACATATCAGCTCTTTACAGGACTTTAGCAGGATAACTGTCAATATGCAGATGGTGCTGTGAGTTATAAGTGACTCATGAGTGTTTTGAAAGGTGCTGAACAGGGTGTCTTCCTAGAAATACTTAGGCAGCATTCTGAGTTAGAAGTAGCAACTTACATATCATCCTTGAGTAATGACTCCTAAGACCTTTTAGACCAGTAACATTTTTTAGGTGTTTACTGCAGGCCTGTTCTTTGTCCCAAGCACTTAGTATTCACAACTTCAATACAGTAGTGGCTGCAGGCACAATGCCCATTTTACAGATGAGGAAACTGGGGCCTTTAAATTGCCCAGCTAAGTGGCAGGGAAACAAAGACTAGCACAACAAGTGTTCTGCCTTTAGAAAGTCTTCAATCTGGTGTTCTTTAAGCTCTCTAATTTAAAAAGTGGGCCAGTTTCCTCTTCCTTCCAGATGATCTGAATTTGGTGAGTTTCACAAAAATAAAATGATGTTGAAATATTTTTCTGACCAATTAACTGTTGTCACATATTATAATAGAAAAATGTGAGAGAAAGCTGTCTTGTGGAACAGACTGGTCTACACTGGGGAATCAGCTGCCTGCAGAATACTCTTATTTCCAATTGTAACATGTTTATGATGCCTGAACAATGACAAAGACAGTGATGGTTTTGTAACAGAATCTCCGGAAAGCTATTAGCAGGTTGGCATTTCTAATTCATGTGGAAATGCTCGTTTTACCAGGGAATTATAGCAGCAGTGTTTGTTTAATTAAGTCTTGATGGTTTGGAAGGGCAGTTTTTTGAAGTTCACAGTATTACAGACACACATACATGCAGACCAAAGAAAATTGGTGGAGCAGCTAAATGTCAGGTTATTTTCTTTTGAGCAATCACTTTGACATGGTATGAGAGCTGTTTAACAAAGGAATTATTTAAATATGTTGTATCCTTTCATAAGAATTTTTTAATGGTAACTACAATTGTACTAGGCTTATAAATGCCCCAAAGGAAAGGGGCCTCAACCTTCTCCTCTTCCTTTCCTTTTTTCTCCTCTCCTTTTCTCTCTTCTCTGCTCTCGTCTCTTCCCTTCTTTCCTCTTCTCCTTCCCTCCCACCTTTCTTCCTTTCTTTCTTCTGGGGATGAAACCTAGGCTCTCGATCATGCAAAGCATATCTGTATGCTGTGCCACTGAGCTAAACCCCAAGGCCCCACCCCTTTTGACTATAGCTACAGAGATCACCTTATGTTTTAGAAGGCAGGTTAGACTCTAGTAGCATTGATTGATTGATTGATTTTTTTGAGACAGGATCCTACGATGGAGTCCAGGCTGGCCCTGAACTTACAGTCATCCTCTTGCCTTTGCCACCCAAACTCAAGATCTAGTTTCTTTTTAAAACTCTACATAGAGCATTGGCATATTCTAATCGATGTGGAAGACATCATTATACCAACAAGCAAAACAGGTTTGAATGAGAAAAGCGGATGGAAGTGAGATGGAGAGAGACTCAAGAGTGTGAAGGGGACAGGAAAGGGCGCCCACTACTGCCAGCACCCAGTCCAGGGAAGGGTGTCTCAGATGCTAGCGCCCCAGGCAGGGTGCGCTGCTCCCAGGGCCCAGCAGCCTAAGCCAGCCCACCTCGACTCTGGATTCATTTGTTTGGAGTAAGCATTGGTTGAGCACTCTAGTCAGAAAAGACAGCCTGTAACCAAGTAGGTAAAACCTGCAAGGATTGCGATGGCATTTTGTGTGAAGGAAATAGGCTAACACTGAGTGTGGTAGAGGGACAGGAGGGCTATTACATCAGTGGTCAGGGATGGCCACTCTAGGTCGTGGCCACTGAGCAGGAAAACAGCCAGCCATGGGACAGTCTAGCCCAGAGGTCCTGGGGTCGGAAGGAGTTTGATGTGTGTAAGATGAGCAAGAAGGTACCAGGGTAGCTGGACCGAACAGGGGAAAGTGGGAGATGAGACCAGAGAGCACCCAGGCCAGGCTAACTCCAACAGGGGCCTTTTAGGCCCAGCTAGGTGCTTGCATTTTCTTCCTTGTAGAATGGAAATCACTGGAAGACTTCAAGCAGGAAAGTGATACAGCTGATTGTATTCTTCAAATGTTTCTGTGAGTACTGCATGGAGACGATTACAGGAAGGCGAGAGTGCTGAGGTGTGTGAGGAATAGGCGTGCGGCCGGCAGGGAGCCGAGGCCTGGGGGACACTTCTGGAGTGGGGAGGAAAGGGGACTGGGCTGCCACCTGCAGCACTGGGTGAGCCGGGAAAGAGTCGAGGGGCCATACTGTAGACCTGAGGTGTTGGGGCTGCCTGGGTTCTGCCGGTCCTCCTGAGTTCTACAGTCTGCAGCTGAGGGGGTGCTGGGGGCCAGGAGACGCTGAGACCCAGAGCTGCACCCTGGCCTTGGCCCTGATTGCGGTGGGATCCAAGAGGAAGGAAGCAGTGATGCTGGGAGCTTTGGTCTTAACATTTGTGACAGAAAAGAGCTGCGACTCTGCAGACACCCAAGTTAGCCATTCCCACACGTCACACTGCAGCTGTGGGACCCAGGAACAGTGCAACAGCGAATAACCTCAAGTTTAAAAAAATTAGAATGAATGGGGCAGAAGTTATGCATAGGGAAGGGTACTTACCTAGCATGTGAGAGGCCCCTAGCTCTCCTGGTATGCCTGCCACCCTCCCCTGGCCCTAGTCAGGTACCTAAAGCAGGGTGCAGGGCTTGTAGGAGCCCGGAGAAGCTGAGGTGCAGCCAGGGGAGGGTGCTAGCTTGCAGCAGAGTCTCCTTGAGCACTTGCACAGGGGTAGCTGATATTCTAAAAGTGCTTCACGGGCCGGTGACCACACCTGTACCCCCGCACTGGGGAGGCTGAGGCAGGAGAATCACCATGAGTTCCAAACCAGCCAGATACATAGTGAGAACAAGGTCATCCTAAGCTGCAAGTGAGACTCTGTCAAAAAACAAACTAAAGATGCTTAAACCCACTCTACCCCTGCCTCAAGTTTAGGGGACAGAGATTTGAGGGAAACTAAACTAGAGGCCAGGAGATCAATCTAGTTTGCATGGTGGGTGAGAGGCAAAGGCCTGACTGGACACAGGGAGGAAGAGGAGGAGATGGACTCAGGGAAGACCGGGGAGCAGAGTCCAGGAGGAGGGTGGCACAGGACAGGGAGGGAAAGGGGAAGGTGGGAGGCCACTCCCTGCCTGCCTGAGGATAGCGCCTGCTTTTCCAGCCGCTGCCCGCTCAGGACAACTTCCTCCCAAATCTAGGAGTGAGGTCCTGGGCTCGCTGTCCAGCAGCTCCAGCTGGCTGGGTCCCAGGCAGCAGCTCTCAGCCAGGGAACGCTCGGGTTACAGCTGTGTCCTGGCTTCAGAAACGGCCTCTCCATGGCCCCACTTAATAAAGTTACCAAATGTGAGGGGTGACGGATTCCTGGAGCAGGACTCGTGGAGCTCAGGGCCCATCCTAGAGGGCTGACTCGCAGGTGTCAGCCCCACTTAGAGGTGACAGGCAACCTGGCAGTGCCAGTCAGAAAAATGCCACCTTGGATGAGTTGTACAGTGGGCTGTGATGTTCAGAAGTTATTTTCCTTTTCTACCTATTTGTTAGTAAGTAGGGAGAACATTAATTTCATTTTATAAATGTGTAAAACTTCAGATTAATGGTTTCCAGTTTTAGAGAATGCACCTGGAAGCCGCTATTTCTAACAAAGCTGTCCTTTTTGTAATAAAGCAGTCCATGCCCTTGTGGGTGAGGCCTCAAAGCCCCAGATGACTTTTACTCAGAGTGGCTTTCTGCTGGGTCTGCTTCTCCCCAGTGCCTGCTTCCAAGAAGGCTGCCTGCGGGAGGGTCCTGGACCTGTGGTCCACCGGCTTCAGGGGAAATACTTGATTACAGTCCCTGCAGAGAAAGGGCAGCAGGTCAGGGTGTGAGCGTCCTAGAAAAGGTGATTGTCTCCTAGAGAAAGGTTTTTTGCTTTTGTTTGTTTGATTTTGTGATACTGAGGACTGACTCCAGGACCTTCACCTTGAGCTGTATGCCCAGCACTTTTATATTTTGTTTTGGTATAGGTTCTCACTAAGGCACTAAGTTGCCCAGACTAGCCTGAAACTTGAGAGACTTCCTGCCTCAGCCTCCCAGTGTGCTGGAATTATAGGCATGTGCTACTACGCCCATCCCAGAAAAAATTTGAGGCACGATTGTGTATTCAGGCTTACTGGGGCAGGATTGTAATGGCAAGGGTAAGGAGGAGAGTGAGTGAGACAGGAAAGCGCGTTGTTTCTTGGTCGCATGGAGACTCTTCCAGATGGGCCAGGTAGATCCACCACACCCCAGGTGGGACAGGAGGGAAAAGGAATTTACCTGCTGGCTTTTGCCGTCTCCTGGCTCCAGTGGTGACAGTTCTTCGTGTGAGGCATTCACTCCCAGACGGGCCTGTAGAGTGGATTTGGCTGCTCCTAAGTCACTGGGAAGCTGGCGCCCACTTCTGTTTGTGTTGGGCCTGGCAGGGCCTGAAAACACAAACCCAGTGTCTTAGTTTGTCTTCTGCTATTATAACAGCATGACTAAGACTCGGTAATTCACAGTGGACAGGAATTCATCTGGTGTGGCTCCAGAGGCCAGAGGCCTGAGAGCAGGGCCCTGGCACAGCACAAGGGCTTGGTGCTCCGTCGTTCTTTGGTGGAAAGCAGAAGGGCAGAGAGGGCGAGGGGCCAAGAAGGGCCAAATTTGCTTTTTTTTTTTTTTATTGGTACTGGGGATCGAACTCACAGCCACGTGCTTGCAAGGCAGATGTTTATGCCGCTGGGCTAAATCTCCAGCCCCTGGATTTGCTTTTATAACAAGGAGCTCTTGCGGTAACCAACCCACTGCTATGATGCCAACATTCATTCATTCATTGATTCGGGCAGAGTATGACTAATTACCTCTGCTCCCAGGGCTTTGCAGGGGGACAGCCTCCAGGATTAGTTCAGAACTCACCAGCACAGTTCAGCGAGGGTATTAGGGGTCAGGCAGTGGTAGCCATGGCCAAGGCCAGGGGACAGGTGGGACTAGGCAGGCTTGGGAGACATAAACTGGGTTTGGTTCCAACACAAACAAGAAGCTAAGAGTAAAGAGCAGTTACTTTCTTGCCATCCCCCTAAACCCAGGCCCACCCGCCTCCAAAATGCTGTTCACAGCTTATCCCTTTCTTTAGGTTGGCGTTTGTCTTTAGTACTATATGACAACAGAGAGGGAAGTCTGAGAGAAATAGTAAAGGGAAAGAATTCAAATTTTCTAATTTTGCAAATTACCTCATTTCTCTGTTGCGCTCTACTACTCATATGGTTTATGTCTAGATGTCCCCCAAAGCCTCATACACTTGTAGATGGGACTTTTTCAGAAGTAGCTGAACTTAGAGTTTGTGATTGACTCACGGTTCAATGCTGGGATGAAGGGTGTGGAGATTAAGGGTGAGTGATGGGTCATGGCTGGGATCAGTCTGCTGATTGGATTGGCACTGCCCTGATCCCAGCAGTCTGGGTGAGATAAAAGGGGCAGAAAGAAACATGTCTTCTGCTTTTCTGGCTTACTTTTGCTGTCTTTTGCTACCATGAACTGTTTCTCCTCTGTGATGCCCCTCTGCCAATCTCCCCTGCCTTAGAGCCAGCCAATTATGGACTGAAACCTCTACAAACTGTGAACTAAATAAACCTTTCCTCCTTTCACTTTGAGTGTTGGGTATTTTGTCTCAGCAATGAGAGGAAAATAATTAAGACAACTATTTTTTGACCTTGAAAAAGTCAATGAACTCCTCTGCACCACAAGAGGAATTTAAGGAGGGTCAAAGTAGTCCATGCAGCATAGGGTCCTTGTTAGAATTTGGTGAAATGAAATATGCACCAGCACTTTTAAAACCTTGGCACGAGCTGCAAGGTGAGAGGCTATTATTGTCCTCCATCTTCTACGGCCCTGCTCATCATCCCTCCTGAGATATTTTTAGCTGGTTTCCCACTCCCTTGGGCTTGGTCCCAGCAGAGTTCTTGCTACATCCTGTCTATTTCTGCCCCCTAGATTCAAGTCCTGTTCTTGCCTCCTCTGCTCCCTGACACTGTCTGTCCCTGAACTCCCAGCCACTGGGGCATGTGAGGGAGAATTCGGACCTGCCACAGGCCTCCTATTCTCTTAGCTCTAATGGGCACTAATTATTAGGATAATGATTTTTTCAATCTCACAAGAAAAGGAGCTTCCTTTCAACGTAGGAGCAAGTGCAGCACAAGTACCGAAGTATCAGGAACCCTGCGCGCCTGCCTGGGGGAAGCAGCGCCCACTGTATGCTAGGGGAAGGGGACGCAGGCCACCTGTCCCTTTCATTGCAGCACTTTCCCCCTTAACGCCCTGTCCTCCACAGTGTCTCTGTTTAGCCTCACAGTGACCCCTGTGAGCTGAGCAGGGCACCTCCCTTTTCACAGCAGAATCGGAATTTAGAGCAGACAGTGAGTTGCCCCAGGCCAGGGCGGCCAGTCCGAGGCCAGCCCAAACCAGAAGCTGTGTCTTCTCATTCCAAGTATTTTTTTCACACATTGGTGCCATTTGTTTTGGGTTGTCTCTGCTCCCTTTGTTCTTGATTTTCAGAGAGCTTCTGTCTCAAGAGAAAGTGCCCTGCTCCTGACAGAGGCGTGGGTTCTTGGTACAGCCATGATTTTAACTCTGCACAGAAAGAGAGTCCTGCAGCACCAAGTCCACATGGCCTCCTTCTGCCCTGAGGTCAGTGGAGGCCTAAACAGAAGTTTCCTCAGAGAACAGAGGGCACTCGTGGTGCTGTGAATCTGCTCCAGAGTTGAGGGCAGGAGAAAGGTCCAGGGCATCCCTACCTCAGCCTCCTATCTTGGGGCCCCCCTTGTGGTAGGGGCATCTGGGCCTCACCCTGCACCTCCATTCCTAGAGGCACAGAAGTGGTGTCTGGCCTCAGGGATTGCAGGTCTACATGTGTGAAGGTATGAAACATGGCCATGTGATGGACACTTAGGCTTTCCTTTCTCCTCGCTTCCCAGGGTGAGTTCACTAACGGGTGCCTTTGGAGGTGAGGGAGGGCAGGGGGATGTGAGGAGCTAGCAGGAGGTGGACACAGGGGCCCCCCAAAATCAGTCTCATGGGGCTCACACACTGAAGGTAGCTCTGGACAAGATGGGGTCTGGGGCTGACTTGGATCAGCAGGACACTGAGCTCCTAATCCCAAAAAAAAAAAAAAAAAATGTTTACCCCAAAGTCTTCTTTCATGTCCATTCCCTGTCATTCTTTTAATTCAGAACCAAAGCCATTTACACTGGGTTGGCTCAAGTTGAGTCCTTGTCAGTCCCCGTCCCAACTCTTCATTCAGAATCCAGAACAGTAGAAAAAGGAGGAGCTGGGGAAAGAAGAAGGATGTGACCAGAGTGAATGGAAGCGGATGGACCAAGGAGTTTCGGGAAGTGAATTTCATCATTGCAGAGGATGGTATTTGGCAAAATAAATGGCCTGAACCTTCCCATAGTGTAAATTCTAATACTGACAGTGATGTGGAATGGTAATGGCTTGGATCATCAGTTCATGCAAGATTTGCTGTGTATCAGTGTCTTCAGCGCTCTCCCATTGCACGCATGAGTCTGCTTTGCCTCACTGTGCCAGTGGGCACATCCGTCTTTGACGATGAGATCTAAGTGCAAGTCTTCCTTCTCAGTGAAGGTCTTTCTCCATGTTCTCCAGATCAGGGCATTACCATCTGTAAGGCAGATCCCCCCTGTAGAGGTAAGTAGGTGCTTTTTTGAGAAAAATTATTAAAAACTTTCATTTTAATCAGCTAGCATTTCTGTTTCAGGGCACGTTTTATTTCTCTTTTCACCTGACATGAGAAAATTGTTGCACACCAGTTGAGCTGTAAGGTGAACTTGACTGCGATAATGGGACACAGTTTAGGAAAGACAGCGAGGTCAGCTGACTGGTGTTCTGTTCTCCTCTTTGTGCTATAGCCGCTGACCTGGTTCAGGATCAACTCTTTGTTCTCCACAGGACTATCAGATTCTCACCAGTGTCCATGAGCATTGTTTATACAATTAATCAGCAAGAACACCAACAAGTGCACACAGGATGAAAGGATCCAAAGAGATGGAGCAGTATTTGTAATGAATCCCAGGCAGCCAACTCTGCACTGAACTATTGACCTAAATCCAGACATTTCTTCCTTGTCCCAGATAGGTCTAGAAACTCTTGAGTGAGAAAAATGTACTACATTACAAATAGCTATAAAAATCTCCAGTTTTGATAGACTAACTGTATATCAGATGGCCTAGATATGTTATAGTAAACAGCTCCCAAATTTGAGAATTAATATTTGGATTATTAACTACAGCTCACATCATATTTTTGGTTATCTCTCCAGGGCAGCCGTCCTTGTGTGTTGATTCAACATTCTATCCAATCTTTTTAAAAATATATTTTTTTCTTGGTACTAGGGTTTGACCCCAGGGCCTTTTCTCTGGGCTACATCCCCAGCACACTTTTTTATAATTTTGAGAGAAGGTCTTGCTAAGTCACCTAGGTTTAGCTCAGACCTTGGACCTTCATTCCCTTGCTTCCTGGAGTGCTGGCAGTACCGTCATGCACCACCACGCCAGGCCTCCATTCAGTCTGTAACTCTTCTTTATCAACACTCACCTTCTTGACTGTCACAAAGGAAAAACAATGAAATGCTTCCACCAGGAAGTGACCTGTGTTCTATATAATTTGTAAAAGCAAATACCTGGGCTGTACTGAACTCCAGATGAGCAGGTGTATAAACTATTATTTTCTGAAAACCAACCACCTCAAATTTTGTGCTTTTAATAGCACATTTCATTATTCCTCACAATTCTGAGTCAGCTGGGCAACTCTGGCTGGTTTTGCCTGGGCCCACACAGACAGCTGGATTCAGCTGGAGGAAGAGTTGGACTGGAAAGTCCAAGATGTCCTCACCCACATGTGTACTAAGTGGTCCTGGCTGGCAGCTGGGTCCTCTGGTTCTTTTCCATGTAGCTTCTGATTCTGCAGGAGGCTCAGCTCACCTCCTTACACGATAGTCTTGGGACAGAAGCTGCATGGCTCTAGAACTACACTGCACTGCCATATATTCATGGTCAAGGCCAGTCGTGAGGGCAGCCCAGATTCACCGTACAGGGAAGCAATCTCGTAGTGGGGGAGTCACAAATAGTACAGCCATGTATTTTGATCTATTAAAGCAGGTACATATACAGTTGGTCCCCGTTATTTATGGTAATGTTCTGCAGAGTCATTGCAAATACTGAATTAAAGTATGTTGAACTGCTCCCAAGGGAAAGACAGGATTAGGTTTCTACATGCCTCTCTGGACATACGTCTCTGGCTTTTTTTATTTGTTTGTTTGTTTGTTTTCAGCATGAGGGATTGGACCCAAATGGGCTGTACCGTTGAGCTACATCCTCAGCTCTTTTTATTTTTTTATTTTGTATGTTGAGACAAATTCTCACTAAGTTACCCAGTCTGTCCTGAAACTTGCAATCCTCTTGCTTCAACCTTCTGAGTAGCTAGAATTGCAGGTATGTGCAGCCATACTCAGCTTGGACACAATATTTTCAGCAATTAACAACATATGATCTTGCTTTATGTGTGGTTATGTAAAGACATCTCATGCTTATATGTCGAGTTATTAACATTGAACTACAGAAAATAGCACTATGATTCATTACTGAACGAAGCTTCTCTAACATATATTTGCCCCAAAAGGAATGTCACAGCCTTTCTGAGTCTAGGAATATCAGTATTACTGCATTAGACTTGGGAAGCAGAAGTGTCACTTTAGTGACCTCAAAATGGATATATTTAATTAATAATATGAGAACTTAAACAAGAAAGCAAGTTAGTATTTTTGCTATACCAATAATTACTCAAAATTTTTACCATTCTGCATATCCATGGGTGATTATGCAGTAATGTGAATATTGATTTTGAAATTACAAGTTAAATTTTAACAAGAAGATAAATGCAGAAATAGAGTCAACAAACAATGAAGACTAACTATAGAGAAAAGGGAAAGCAGACATTGGCGAGCAGTGATCATTTCTGGCATTTCTATTCATGGAAAAACAAGAAAATAAAATGTTCAGGACTTATGCCCTTACTATTTCATTTAATCTTTACAAGCGTTTTGTTGGCTTGGTTCTACTTTTTCCTACTTCTTTATTGAATTTATTCCCACTTTATTCCTTTCTTCTGCTGGCTTTAGGTTCAGTTTGCTCTCCTTTTTCCAATTTCTTAAGGTAACTGATTTGAGCTCCTTCCTTGTCTTTTTACTTCCAGCTACCATCAATGGGCCGCTCTCCTCTACCACACCTTTCTGCCATGTTTCTGCCTTGGAGCTGGTTAACCATGAACTGAAATCTCTGGAACCATGAGCCAATATAACCCTTTCTTCTTTAAATTGTGTGTCAGGTATTTTGTCCTAGCAACAGAAAAGTGACTAATACAGTGAGGAATGAGAGAACTTATTTGTCTCTGCCACATACATTTTATGGGTGCAGGAACAAGTTTAAGGAAGTTCGGTAATTTGTCCAAGGACACCCACGTAGTACACAGTTTAAATCAGATGATACAACCCTAGAGCCTGTGCTCTTAACCACTTCACCTTACTGATTAGAAAACTAAGGTTCAGATAAGTCAAATAATGAGGTCACACAGCTAGCAAGTGTGAATCTGTCCACCCCAGAGTTTTCACCCTTTCCCCTGTTACTTCCCCAAACCATTTGTCTTATGTTGTTGAGACAACAGCATAAAGGATGACAAAGAACAGACCTCCGTGTTCAAGCTGAACATGCCCCATAGAGGTCTGTCCAGATACCTAGATTAAATGTTTTTGGTGCCCTTTAAATGCATTAGGATGTCAGTGACTACCTGAAGGTCAGCAAATCAAAATAACATTCAGAAAGGAGGGGAACGCTATTAAGGAACATGTACTTGGAACTTGCTTGTGTTCTGGAACTGGGTTAAAGAAACTTAGAAGCAGGCTGTGAATTGCTACTCAGTCAGTATTAAAATTGCAGTCCTGCGTGAAACCCTAAATGCTTTTGTTTCTTCCCTTTTTTCCCTGGATTCACAGCCTCTTGCAAGCAGTCAGTAGGTTACTGTCAGTCCCTTCTACCCACAAATGGCTCTGGGATGGGGTGAGGCCTGTGTTAAGCGCAGGTAGCCAAGCTTTCCTGAGCCCACCTGAGGTCTGGGAACATCTCAGTAACTGCTCGACTCACCCGTTTCTTCTCTTTCTTTGTCAGCTCTTCTTTTTCTTCATCTTGGATTATCCTAGAGCTGAGTTAATTGAGAAAGGACTGTGTAAGGGCATGTTCTAATTACAAATTCCGGACAAGTTTTCGTGCTCCTGGAGCTGTCTTTCATGGTGCCTGGAGGATATACTCAAGGGAGGGCATCCCTGGGGACCGCAGCTCAATAACCAGACAGAAGCACAGTTGAAGCTCTGGTGACTAATACAGCCCCATTTGCAGCCGCCCACAGATAATCCACTATTCCGTCCATAGTTAGAATCCATTACAAAAAAAACAAGACTTGGTTCCAGCACCTGGAGGAACCTTATCGCTGACTAGTGGTGTGTATTCGGGTTACTAAAGTTTAGAAAAACTCATGGTGGGCCTTGGGCCCCCGAAGGGAGCTTCATCTGTTTTCTCCTTCACTGCTGGGAGCTTAGTGTTGTTAGCACATGGTGGCCCCACTGTTAAGAGTTCTCTTCCCAGTCCAGTCCCCCAGATGACACCCCAAAGGACCTCTGCTGATGCTGTTTCACACACACACACACACACACACACACACACACACACACACGCACACACGCACGCACACACGCACACACGCACGCACACACACACAGAACTTCAGGCTTCCCCACTGGTCTTTCTTTACCTTCACACCTGCGCTCTTTTCCTGTACAACACAGTTAATAGTTATATCTATCATGAGAATATCAGACCTTAGTTAATTTTCAAAGTAAAATTAGATACTTTACTTTGAGATGATTATAGACTCATTTATATATAAGAAATAGTACTGAGAGATGCAAAATGTCCTTTACCTGTTTCTTCCCAATAGTAACATCATCTTGTAAAACTCTAGTATGCACAATATCACAACTAGAATATTGACACTGGTACAGTCCACAGCTCACTGTCCGATTTTTCGCTCTTATTATGTACATGGTGTACATGGTGTTTGTGTGCATGCATTTAATTTTATCTATTTTATCCCCACCTATGTGTCAGTTGCTCATTTGCCTTTTTATAATTCTTTTTTTTTTTTTTGTCTTTTTCCTTTTTATTGGTACCAGGGATCGAACTCATGACTGCCTGCTTGCAAGGCAGGCGCTTATGCCGCTGAGCTAAACCTCCAGCCCCATTTATAATTCTACATGTTCCTTCTTGCCATCACCTCTATTTCCCAGTCCTAACCTACCTTGCCACACTGAACTGTTGTCCATCATTATAATCTCATTTCAAGACAGTTATATAAATGAAATTATAAAATATGTAACTGTTTGGGATTGGTTTTTTTTTCACTTGGTCTTCCTTTAGGTCCCTACAATTTTTGCACGTACCAGTGTTTTCTTCCCTTTTGATTGCTACGTAATATCCTAACACAGACATATCATGGTGTGCGCAATCACTCATTCTCAGTGAAGAACATCTGGATTGTTGCCATTTTGGGTTATTTTGAACAAATCTTGTATGAACATTGGTATACAGGTTTTTATGCGAACATAATTTCTTAAAGTTTTCTCCTGTAAGGGCTCCAAGAATTTAGTTGGTGGATTGTATGATATTCCATGTTTATTTTATAAGAAACTACCATAATGTTCTCCAGAGTGTCCATCACCTCAGCAGTGTGTGTGTAACCTAGTTTTAGTTTCTCTGTGGCCTTGTCACTAATTTAAACTCTAACCATTCTGAGCAAAGTGTGCACACCTTGTAGTCCTAGCTACTTTAGAGACCAAGGCATGAGGATTTCAAGTTTGAGATCAGCTTTGGCAGTTTATGAAGACTGTGTCTCAAAATAAAACTAAAAAGACTAGGGATGTTGCTCAGTGATAGAGCCTTTGCCCAGCATGCATAAGGCCCTGGGTTTAATCCCTAGTACTGCTAAAAGTAAAAAATAAAAAAATTCAACTATTCCGATGGAGGTGTAGTAAAATTTCATTGAAATAATTTAAAGATTATTTATACATTTCAAATTTAAATTGTTATTTCTGTGACTTTTATATCTTTTTCATTAACTTCGTTGTGATTAAACAGTTGCATGATGCATTGAAAAATCCAAATAGTATTTCATTCATCAATTCACACTTTCTCCAATACACTGAGCATCTGTACCTGCTTTTGCCACACAACTTGATATCAGGTTTCACTTAATGACAATTTTTTAATAATTGTCATCTCAAAAGTTAACATGAAACTGGGTGTGGTGGCTCATGCCTGTAATCCCAGCACTTGGGAAGCTAGGCAGGAGGATTGTCGTGACTTCAAACTGCATTGTGAGACCCTGTCTCAAAGAGACAAAAAAAAAAGTTAACATGACAAATACTGAAGAAACAATGGAGTTAGTTGACTAGTCTAGCAACCTTGAATCTGTTACAAAAGAAATTTCCCACATACCAGTTATGCCTCTATATTCATAAAATATTTTAATCAAAAATTAAGTATGAAAGAAACGCCTGGCTATTTATTTTCCAGACTTCCAGCCTGAGACTCCACTGAGCCCACCTGCTCCACCCCGATCTGCAGTGACCCTCCTTGAGCCCTATGCCCTGTGTACTGTGTCCTGCCCAGCTTTCTGGTCACGCTGCTATTATCTGGGAGCAGAGGTAAGATGGGAGACTCAGTCCCCGAGCCTATGGTAGAGCATCCAGCATTTGTAGTAGAAAATGAAAATATCTTTTTTAAAAGTAGGAATCCAGTTGCCTGGATACAGACAGGAGTACATTCCATTGAATATGCAGGTGACCTATAGATGTTTTGTCCCTATTTCAATTTCCAGTGTTAAGGAGAAAATGCAACAGATATGACAAATAACATATCTGCTTGGGCTTTCTCTGCTGGTCCTCTGTATGTGTCACACATCCACACGCCTGCATGCAACAAATGGCTTAGAGTAAAAGCCCTGCAAAAACATCAATCCTTGTACAGCACCAGGGAGTTCTGGTCAGGTTTACTAGCAATGCAACTTCTATAAATAGCAGGCAGGTGCCTCCATAAGCGGTGTAGCTATTTATTTTTTTAATAGGGATTCTCGTGTTACAAGGACATCACAGATTACTGAATAATTCATTCAATGGTAGATTATATGGGCTTCACTCTGTGCCAGTGAGCTCATACCTAAATGTCTAAAGGAGATAAGGTGGTCAAAAGCTAGGGCTCAGGCTTTGGTGAACTATTTATCTATTTTCATTAGATATGTGTGATTACTGAAGCCATAGATATGCTACTTCACTTACTATTATCTCAGCCCCAAAGTGTGTGTGTGTGTGTGTGTATACTTGGCACTCCTTTATTATTTTGACATTTAGTAAACCTACAACAATTCATCTAATATACACCGTGAGAAACCCAGAATAGAATCATAACCTTCACACTTGGTAATTTTGACAAAGGATTGTGATATGCCAGGGTATGTTTATTTTCTATCAAAATATAGGGAAACAAGAGAGGGCAAAATTCCATTTAAAAAAAGTTAGATTGGGAAAGTAAAGACAAGAAAAATGACCTGGAAGGGTATTTTTCTGTGAACTTCTATTGTTATTACTTCTTCCATGATTTCAAGTACTAAAAATCATTTTTAAGCTTATAGATCTTAGACATTTTATCTTAAGTAGTATATATTTTTCAGATGATCAGAGATAACTTAGAAGTTGGGCACACTTTTCTGTCAAAATTTCTTTTTGTTTCGTATCATGTTCTGAGATGGGGCATTTTATGTAGTTCAGGTTGGCTTTGAATTCATTATGTAGCCCAGCCTGGCCTCCAACTTGTGGTGATCCTCCTGCTTCAGTCTCTTGAGTGCCGGATTATAAGTATGTGCTACTATGGCCAGCGTATGAAGATGGAACTTGTTTTTAAAGACAAATTAAATTTAGCAACATAAACCAGGTGTGGTGGCTCATGCCTGTAATCTCAGCACTCGGCAGGCTGAGGTGGGAGAATCATTGTGAGTTCGAGACCAGCCTGGGCTACACAGTGAGCTCAAGGCCAGCCTGAACTGCATAGTGAGACCCCATTTCAAAAAAGACTAAAAAAAAAAAAAAAAAAAAAAAAAAAGTTTAGCAATATAAAGATGACCAAAAGCTTAAACAGGCAAATAAGAAGAAATTCATGGCCAGTAACTGTAGTACAAGGTGCTTTATTTTATGCAGTAAACAGGGAAATGCAAATGAAATCCACCGTGAGATAGCACGGCTCCTGTCCAGTTGCAGTTTTAAAGTTTGACCATAACAAGTGCTAGAGAGAGAGCGGCAGAGTGGGAACACTGCCAGTGTGAGTTTAAACACAATCTCTTCACAATGGAAGAAACTCACTGTGGGAAAATGCCCTGGAGGCAGGTGGATGTGCATATCCTATGGACCAGGAGACATGCGAGAATGGTTATAGATGTGTTGTTCATAATCTCTGCAAGCTGGAAATAGCCCACATGTTTGTCCAGCACAGAAAGGGTAAGATCTGGAGCCACTTACAACAGCATGGGAGAGTTTCAGCAGCATGCTAAGCAAAAGAAGCAAGACACAAATCATAAAGAGTTCATTGGCAAATATCTCATAAACAGGCAAAGCCGAACTGAATTGTTTAAGGCTACTTATAATGATGGTAAATAATGAAAGGTAAGGAAATCATTAAAAGTCCAGATTGTGATTACTTTCATTGAAGAGAAAAGATTGTGACCAAGAATACTCTTGAGTCTTTGGCACATTGGAAATGCTCTGGTTTTTTGTCTTGCCTGTGGTTTTATGTGTTTTCACTTTATAACTGTTCACTAAGCAGATATTTCTGGTTAGTGCACTTTTGCATGTGTATATTTCATTTCTACACACATATTACTTTCTAACCAGGCTGCTAAATACTCGAAGATTAAAACCCAAAATGGGCCTGGCAGTGCACACCTGTCATCCCAGCACCCTGGAAGGCTGAAGCACGAGGATCACAAGTTTGAGCCCAGGCTGAACAACTTAGCAACTTAACTCAAAAAGAAAACAAAAGGGCTGGGAAGGGAGGTGTGAAGGCTCTGGGTTCAAACCATATATAGTATTGAAAACAACTCTAACCAAGAAAATCTTCACTTTTGATTTACTAGAAAATGAATGAAAGTGGCCAGTTTGGTTGAATGACCATTTGAAGCAGAGAGCTAAATCTCCCATACAGCCACACTCGGGGTTCTGTAAGGTCACTCTGGAAGGCAGCAGGGTGCTGGGAGCTCAGCAGTGCTGACCCCAGGCTGTGCTTCCTGGACAGTCCTCGGGGCCCCATTCTTCATCTGTAAGATCTCAGCTCCTTTGAGAATCTCCAAATGTTATATCTTGGGAGTTCTCTGTGGGAACTTTAACTTTTTTTTTTTTTTTTTTTAATAAAAAGCTCTCTTTATTTTGACCAGCATCAGAAGATTCTTAGGAGCACATCCTGGGTCCTCAAATGTCCACTGCAGAGCTCACATTCCTTAGTGTTTGTGATCACATTGGGACCTGGATGCGTTCTTTTAATTGTCTCAAGAAAATAAGACCTTAACGAGCAGAGTGCGTTTGCTAAGTGACCTCAGAAAGGCCTCAGGAGCAAAGTATCCACAGGAATTTGAAGAGGTGGTGTCTAGTTGAGCCGAGGCCGATACCGATGTGACACCTGCCTGGCCCAAAGAAAAGACTCAGTACCAGGATACAGAGCAAAGGGAAGTTTACTTACCCCGTGAAGTCTCACTGTCTGCCTCATTACATTCACACTGTTAACTTGGGTTATACTGGCTTTCTATCTGATTTGTCAGAATCATGAATTTGTTTGGACTTTACAGCTGTAGAAAAGTTACCAGGCTATGGGTCGTTTGCCCAGTTTTATATGTCATATTTGACTAACAGTCTCACAACAATAATTTACATAAACACTAGGAATCCTCAAAATTTCCTTCTCTAGAAGTTGCCACATGTCACTCAAATACAAGCCATGCTGAATTCCATGACCACTGCCAACGTGCCTGTGACTCTGTTTCCATTTTAGAAATAGAGCCCTTTCTAGTGTGAGCGGCAGGGGCTTTGCTGGTGCTGCCTGGGACGCCAGCACTTGTCATTTGTGATCTCTCACCCACAGGTGGCTGTGTCCACCAGGAGTCCTGGCTGCAGGGAGGGGCTGGCCAGCGCACAGATGTTCCACAGCGGAGGTCAGTAGCACCCAGGCCAGGAGACCCTGGTTCTGCCTTCCAGCTTCAACCTCCAGCAGGAGAAAGAGTTCCCCATGTGTGCGCCATGTCTGTGCCGGTCTCCTTCCCGCTTTCCCTTTCTCAGCACATGTTTCCTTTACTGAGTAGAATCAGACAAACATGCAGGAACGGCCCCTCAGGTGTGAGCAGTTTAGTTACGTGGCGGGTTTGAGCTAAGGGTGGCACTGGGGAGTGTCACTCAGTATTCACACAGAATGACTTTCCTGTCCAGCAAGCTGGGGGCTGGTGTTTGCAGCTGATCATCACAGGGATCGTGCTCCAACCTAATTCCAGAAGAACCAACTTCCCTAGCAGAACAGACCACTGGGAACAACATTTAAATGAAAATGTGGGTGAGAGTGTGAAACAGATGAAAGGGGTTTGGGACATCTAAGGGGACTGTTTGACCTTCCAAGACTGGTCTGAGGGTCTGTATGTGTGGCTGTGAGCTGCTGAAGGCTGCCTGCCCCACCCACCCCATACATGGTTATGAGATTCCTGCATTTGTTCATATAGATCTTCAGTATACTCCTGGGTCCTATTCCTTCTCCTCTCTCAGACACTTAACTCCTTGAGAATAGTGTCTTGGTGCCTCTGTTGTCTCTGACTGAGTCCCGAGCTTGCTCAGTAGTATGGCCTGCTCTTTAGATAACCACATGGTTCATGAAGTGCACAAAACCCCAGAGGTGAACTCAACCCAGGTAGGATTATGGACAGCAACTTGCTGGCCCCTGCCCTGCTGTGTGCTTTGTCTCCTCTCCATTCATGTATTCTAATGATCCAGTCACTACAGCCTCCCTCAGATTTGTAAGCATTAAAATCTATAGCTTTCTCCTGGTGGGAGAAGAGCCTTCAGTCCCCAGGACCAAAAAAGGGAATGTGCGTTTACGGGGTCTGGGCAGGCTGCCTGCGGTGCAGACAGAGCCAGGCATCTGGGCATTCCTGTCTACCACAACCTGTCTTCCCCACCACGACTTGGGCCAGCCCCTGGAGACGGCTGTGGTTATTAAGACTTCACAGGACCCTGAACTACTGGCAACACAGCTACTGCTGGCATCCTAGGACCACCCTCTCCTTCCCCTCATCCCTCCTCCACAGGACTGAGCGCTCTGCAAAAAGAGAGAAGGGGCAGCATGCCTTTAGCACCACATGGATGCCCCAGGGTGCAGTGAATAGGGCCCTGTTCATGTCCTGGACTTCAGGGGCTGCTTAGAGCCCTCCTCCTGCAGCTGTTCAGGCACTGACGAGGCTGTGCGGCTCGGCACCCACTCAGCACATGGCTGCCACTTTCCTCTCCCCAAGGCTGCCTTTGGTTGCCACCTCGTCTCCTTGGGTTTCTCAGACAGCGGCTCCTTCTTATGGGTTCCTGGGTCCAGCACACACAGGGATCTATGGGAGATCCTAGGAGTCAGATGTGTGGCTCTTCAGAATAAAAGACTCAAACTGTGAGGAAGGAAGAAAGCATTAATGGAAGGGTAGAGGGGCTGAGCACTGGGCATTTAGAGGCCTGTCATGGGGTCAGAGGGTGGAGACTGGTTAGAAGACAGGTCCACAGGAAGTCCATAAGCAATGCCCGGTGGGGGCCTGCTTTCATGGTGTCCTGATGACGTCTTAGGTATAGAGTTGAACAAAAAAGGACATGGGTTTCCCAACATCAAGATGAACAGGGAGGACTTGACAACCCTTCAGGCCCAATTTAGGTTTTCAATCTGTGATTTGGTAGGAGGAAGGAAAGGAGCAGTGATGACTTTTCCCTGACCTTACTCCAGCACACCATGGCCTGAGCTCGACTGCACACTCTGATAGTCATGGGCTAAACCCCTCCCTGACCAAAGCATTAGACAAGCCCGGACCTAGTAGAGAAAGTAGGTAAACGTAGCCCCTACACCCGGAGCAAGTCAGAACCTAACTTTAGCTTCCTATGACCATATGCAAAACTCACTCCAAAAACTCACCACTTCTCCTTTCCATCTTGCACCTGTGGTGTTTGCATACCTGGACTATCCATTAAGGCATCTTGTTCCCTTAGCAACCAGCTCCTCCCCCTCCTGCACCCCAGAGGCAAAGCCTGCCTTTCTGCACTTGTGCTCTGATGGGAGGGCCCTGGTAGAGGGCAAGGGACTCAGCAGGTACGAAGTTTTGAGCAGAACAAAGGATTGTGAGGTCTTGCGTGGCCCTGTGGGATGGGATATTGTCAGCTCAGGGGCCTGTAGTCCAGTTTTGCAAATTCTCTGGGCTCCTTATTTCCCCCTTCTCCTGGTTGCCTGCCTTTTGTTCTTAACACAGTTCATTACCTCCCTAAACAGAGGTTGAACAAAGAAAATGAAAGGAGAAAAATGGGGAAATGAATACTCTGGTAAAAGATCTGGTGGGGAAGGAAGTTAAAACCAATTACCTTGAGATTTCAATTATTCCACCTACTGTCTCCACTGCCTGCTTCTTGCTGGTGCAGAGCCAGAGATCAGCATTAAATGCTGGGTGCAAAACGCTTTCATACCCACTTGCCAACGAGTTCTTGACCTTTGACTTGAAAGCTGGTGAGTCCCGGGGTCAGTTGCTCCCCTGTGACCTGTGCATTGTCCAATGCCACACACACGCCCAGCTGCAAACAGAGGGCTCTGTCTTGTGAGGACCGCTCAGGAAGGAGCCATGAGTGCCTCCCTTGGCACCATAGAGATAAAGGGCTGGGCCGTGGGAATGGAGGGGCTAGAAGAGGCAAAGAAGCATGTCCTCCTGCATTGCTCCCCGGAAGCACGCCAGAGTCCTGATGTCTGGGCCAGAGGGATTGCGACATTTTAGAGGAACATCAAGGAACAGATCTGAGCAGTGAGAAGAGGCCAACAAGTAAAGCCCCGATCGCCTGTCTGGCGAGAAGAGCACATCTAGCTGCCAGGAAAGTCAGCGCTAGACTTCTCTGCCTCTTGCTTTCACCTTACTTATTCTTCCTCCCCAGCAGACTCTCATGCTAAGAAACGCAGAGCTGGGTCTCACCGTCCTGCAGGGCGTCTCAAGCGCTCCACTGAAGTCAGATGGAGCTGTGCACCCGTGGGAAATGCCACAGCTGATGGGAGAGAAGTGCGTCTCTTCTCAGTAAGCAGGCGCTTACTGAGGGAGGGATGTGTGGCAGAATTATTACCCCAATTTGACTATTCCTACCCTGCCCGTGGCAGATCTTGGCCCCTCAGAAGAGATGTCGTTTTCTCTTAAGGAAGAACTGTGGACGCTCTGGGCCTGGAACCCCACATGAGCTGCAACTCAGAAAGCGAAGTCCAGGGAATTAATACAACGCCCGTGCCCATGTAGCTTTCTGATATAACTGATGGCGTCTGGGTACACAGAGGTACAGCTCATCCCACCCAACAGGGCTTCAGAAGCCCACGGTGAGAGTCGGGTGATACAGAGGAAACACTGGCACGCAGGCCGCTGCGGAGCAGCACAGAATGCACAGGCACAAGGATTCGCTAAAGGCCCCTCCAGCTCCAGCCACGGTCCAGGCAGCACGCAGCTTTGCAGTCGATGATGTGACGCTTTCTGCTCAGTGTCCCACCAGCAGCACCTGCACCGCGGAGACTCCTGGCTGTGCCGAGGGGAGGGCTCCAGAGGAAGGGCTGGGGCAGATGAGCTGCCCAACTCTCCCACCCTTTTCCCCACGTTTAGAGCGGTGACAGAAAGTGTGGAGTGACAGGAGAACCACTAGAGAATGATTTTGCAGATACAACCTAGAGAAGACAGCGTTTTTGTTTTGTGTGGACCTGGAGTAGGCCTGGACGCGAAGGGCTGGGAGCCAGGCGGTGCCCCTGGGCAAAGCAGATGGGTGTCGAGGACTGAGATGCAGAAGGGGGTCTGTCTGTTTGTCTATCTGTGTCTGTCAGAGAAAGATAGAAATGTGTAGGAGGGAGAACTCCAAATAAACTCACCTTTGAAATGACCGTTTCTCCTTGGAAACCGGAAAGTAAACAGATGGTACTATTTGGGTCTTGAGCAGTGTAGCTTTGCCCCGGCCTGTGGATGTGAAGAGGCCGTGGCTCTACGCAAATGTGGGGGAAATTAGGGATGGACTATTCCCAGCCGTGAGGCACCGTATTGCTGTTCACAACTCCTAAAGTAGACAAGAATTGGTGTCTTCATTTCTTGCCTGTTTGTGTTTTTGAGATGGTTTCACTATGCAGTATGCAATGCAGGCTGGCCTCAAACTCACCAAGTAGCCCAGGCTGGCCTTGAATTCTTTTTATTTATTTATTTTTGTCTTTTTGAGACAGGATCTTGCTAAGCACATCAGGTTGGCCTTGGGCTCACTTTGTAGCCCAGACTGGTCTCAAATTTGCAGTGTCTCTCCTTCCTCAATGTCTCAAATGCTGGGATTATAGGCGTGCACCACCACACCTGGTTTGGTTTTGAATTCTTAATCCTCCTGCTTCAGCCTCCTGATTGCTGGGATTATATAGCACATTCCACTGTGCCTAGTTTATTATCTTTACTTCACTGATGAAGTAAAACAGCTGGTAACAGGTTAAAAATCTTCTGGAAAGCCAGAGTCTTTACAAAATTTTTTTATTAGTGTTTGTGACACATAATATGCAATCTCATCATGATTATGTTTTACTCTCCTTTTCCTAACCACCCCTTTCATTCTCCAGATCTCGTTCCCATCTCCAAAATGACTACTTCCCTGTTTCCTACAGTCTCTTTTTAGTTTGCTCTTTAAATTATTTATATTTTGAGTGAAAGCCACATTCTAAGTGGCAATCTTCAGATTAGAACCTGAGAGTCTTTGTATTCAGAGTTCTTATACCTCTGCCGATAGGTTTTTTTGGTTTTGAGGGGTTTTTTTTTTGTTTTTTGTTTTTGGTCTTCTTGACACAAGGTCTCACTATGTAGTTCAGTCTGGCTTGAGCTCACTTTGTAGCCCAGGCTGGTCTCAAATTTGCAATGATCCTCCTGCCTCAGCCTCCTGAGTGCTGGGATTACAGGTGTGTGCCACCATACCTGGCTCTTATAATTTGGAAATGGACATCCTCTGAGAGCAGGGATACTGGCTTCTCTGACTTGCACTTGGATCAGAGAAGCTACAATTTTACTTGCTTTTTGTGTTTGAAATTGCACCTGTAATCCAACATGGAAGAAGGTTGAGGCAGGAGGATTGCAGATTTGAGCCTAATGTGGGCAATTTAATAAGACGCTATTTCAAATAAAATTTTAAAAAAGGATTCAGAATGTAGCTAAGTGGAAGGCCTGGGATTCAGTCACTAAGAACTATAAAATACAATAAAATGCAAATTTTTGATTCTAAGACAGAGACAGAGGCAGAGAGATTTTAAATTGAAAAGACTGCACTTGCCACGATCACTGGAGTGGGAGTTCAGGTGTAATACAGGGAATCTACGTGGAACAAGCACAAGAAAGAATGGTGGAGACGCCCCCGAAGCCATGGCCACTTCTCAGTGCCAGATGTGCGTGCTCTGTAGCTCAGGTTTTCACTTTGCGGGTGCTGCAGTCTGGACAGGGCTTGAGCGTGAAGCCTCAGGTTATGTGCTTGAAGCTCTGTCCCTGTGTGGCCGCATTGGGAAGTGGAGGACCTATAAGAGGGGTTTGTGGAAAGCGGTTAAGTCCCTGACATGTGACCTTGGGAAGCACACCCTAACCATGGCACAGTGCTATGAAGTGAGGCCACCCACTTGATGGCCCCTTCTGCCTGAGCAGGTTCCCTCCCCACCTGCCGTGTGGTGACTGAGCCGGGGGTCCTTGGTGGGACAATAGCTCCATCTTCCTCGGCCCTTCCCCTCACCAGAATCATGAACCAAGTCCACTTTACAGTATGCATGCATGTATGTATGTATGTGTACGTGTATGAATGTATGTATTTGCTGGTACTGAGGATTGAATACAGGGCTTTCACACTGAGCCACACCCCCAGCTACCCACCCTACCCCTAACTTTAAAACATTTTTCACTTTGGGACAGGGTCTTGCTAAGTTGTGCAGGGTGGGCTCAAATTTGCAGTCCCCTGCCTCAGCCATAAAATAAATCTCTTAAAAGCTACCCAGGCTCAGGTATTTTTGTTAAAGAAACACAAGACATATAGGAGGGAAGAAAAGATAGGCTTGTTATTTGGAAGAAGAAATTCCTGGGCTGACACCATGGGGCACTGCCCATCCATTCTATGGACCTTATGCAGACCAATCTGAAACTTTCAGTGGACTTGGGCTCACAGGCCATCTGATGTAACCAGCTCCTGCAGCCCTGTGCCTGGTTGGTGGTGTTGCAGCTAACCCAATGACGGACTTCTGGGAAATGCACGCTATTCTCAGGGCTGACCTGTGCAGGCACATGACTTGCTCATGTTGCAAGGTTAGATGGCCACCCCAGGAGGCCAAGTCCTATGACATCTGCTCCAGTTTGGGGATATGGCTTGAGTGTTGTCTCCTAGGGTTTGTGTGTTAGAAGCTTGGCTCCCAGTGTGGCAATATTTGGAGGGGCTGGAACCTTTAAGAAGTAGAGCAGACAAAGCATGGTGATGCACACCTGTGATTCTAGCACTCAGGAGGCTGAGGCAGGAGGATGGTGAGCTCATGGCCAGCCTGGGAAACTTAGAGAGATACTTACTGTCTCAAATGGGGAAGGGAGGTTAAAGAGAGGTAAGTAGGTCATCAGAGTGTTACATTCAAGGAGTTTATCCTGATCTCATAAAGTGAGTTAGTTCTCCTTATTTTTTTGCTTTTGTTTTTGTCTTTTTGAGACAGGGTCTCACTATGCAGTTCAAATTGTCTTTAAACTCAACTTTGTAGCCCAGGTTGGTTTTGAACTCACAGCCATCTTCCTGCCTCAGCCTTCCAGGTGCTGGGATTACAGGTTGCGCCACCACACCTGACTTGTGAGTTAGTTCTCTTGAGAGAGGGTTTCTTATAAAAGAGTGGAGCCAGCTTCCCCTGGCCTCTGGTTTCTTGTTGGACTGTGCAACTGCTCTGTCTCACTCACATGTGTACCTGCCACGATGACATCCATTGTCCTGCTGTGACCCAGGAGAACTCACCAAAGGTCACATGGACAGGGCTACCTGGTCTTGCACATTCAGTCTCCACATGTGAGCAGGTTAAACCTCTTTTCTTTGTAGATACCCAGCCTGTGGTATTTTGTTACAATGATGGAAAACAGACTAAGACAACTTCCCAACAGTTTATTCATTTCTCCAGCTGCCTCTTATATGGCTCTGCCTACCCTGAAGCTGCTGTCCTGATCTTTCTAGGAACCTTGTGTCACACCTGCTGGTGTCAGTTTCCCTGTCATCATTTAGAAACAACCTCCTACTCTTCCCCCAGCTTCGCAGCTGGCAAATATTCTGGCTTACAAGGGCCTCCTGAAGCTGATGGAATCAGAGCAGATCATTTAATCTTTGGTTTTGTCCTTCTAAGTAGACCACTAAAAAGCCACTTGCTACAGAGAAAAGACTTGTCCAAGGTCTGCTGAGCATCAGAAATGAGCTGATGACTTGGTTTTGTCATTTGTTTCCATGTTTTGCTCCTTAAATTGCATGTGACAGAAAGAAGTAAGATTTGGGTTCAAATCCCAGCTTTTCATTTGCTGTGGGATCAAGTAGACAAGGTCCTCAGCCTTTTGGATCTGCCTTTCTTTATTTGTGCAGAGATAATTACAATCACTTCAGCATCTTTATTTTTTAGGATTGTTTATTATCAATGGCACTAGGCAAGGTGGGCCATCCCTCTAATGTCACTCAGGAGGCTGAGGCAAAAGCATCACAAGTTTGAGGCCAGGATAGGTAGGTTATATAGGTTATATAGCAAGACCCTGTCTCACACACACACACACACACACACACACACACACACACACAAAAGAAAGAAAAGCAAAGCAAAGGAAAAGCACATGAGATATAGGACACTGTACAGTGCAAAGCTTGGCACAGAGTCGGAGTTCAACAGATGCTGGTTTCTCCTTGCTCAGGATAAAACCCAAAATTTGCCAATATTTGTTTCCCTAAAATCTAATGCAATGGCTGGCACACCGTGGTATGTGCTTAGTACTGTTTGTTGGCAGTTTGGATGCTGAGGCAGTGAATCTCAAAAACATATATAAAACTTGGCGGACTGGGTCCACGAGGAGTCAAGTCCCACAAACAAATGACAATATTAGAATCTGAGAAGTGGGGCCAGATGTATCAGTGATAGAGCATATGCTTAGAATGTAGAAACCCTGGGTAAAACGTGAGTATGAGGATGTTCACTGCTGTGCTCTGTATAACGGTGAAACAGTTAAGATAACGTAAGTGTCCAACAAAGGGGACGGGTCCGGTTACTGCACCTTAACAGACAAATGTGGTGGCACTTGCCTGGATTCCAGCACTCTGGGAGTCTAAGACAAGAGGGTCCCAAGTTCCAGCCCAGCCTGGGCAATTTAGTGACTTAAAGACCCTGGCTTACTATAAAAAGTAAAAAAGGGCTGGAGGTGTGGCTGCATGTGAGGACCCTGGCTTCAGTTCCCCGGTGTTACACACACACACACACACACACACACACACACACACACACACAGCTAGCGGTGGCTGTGCCCTGCTTCCCATGCTGCTTCTCCACAGTGTGCACTCAGACTCATCGCAGCTCCTGTGGCCAGCTGCCTTCTTGTGATGGTAACCCCAGCCCCACATCTTCAGAGCCACTCGATTCTACTGCAGACAACAAGGCCTATGAGCCATGTCCCAGTGTCATCAATTTCAGGGAGCAGGTCACACTGAACTTGGCACAGTTTGGACCAGACGGCTGTCCCTTACCCAAGTGCTGTGCCAGGGGCAGCTGTGAGCCACCACCGGTCAATTTTTGGTTGTCCATATGCCAGGTCCATAACCAAGGCCAGGGGTGGGCAGGGCCATGCAATAAGGGCTTCATTACAGGGTGAGAAATAACTGTTATTTGCCCCTGCCTTCTGCTGTGAACTGATGTCTCCTTGAAGGTGAAAAGGGAGGACAAGAAGACCTGACCCTCTTGGTTTGGGGGAAATAGAGGGAGCCTGGAGGCGGGACGGGGTCAGCAGCTGACAGTATCAGAAGCAGCCTGAGCTCCTGATGGCCCAAGCTGATTCGTGTGGGTCCTCACGAAGCTTGTGCTCAACCCAAGAATGGCACGCTGAGGACAGCTGCCATGGTTGTCTTCCCTCTCGTCCCGGACACCTCCTGTCACCTTCCTATCAGCAAGGAGAGAAGGATCTGCTGAAGGATGGCGGGTTCTTTCTTAGGGTTGTGCAGGAAAAAACCTGGAGCTGAGTAAAGCCTTCCCTGGTTCCCATCAGTCTCTGCATCCCCTGCTTTAGTTACTTCCTTAGAGCATAGTAGTCCCATTTCCAGAATAAAATGTCTATCCTGAGAAAACGAACATGTGTAAGCCTGCAGGACTCGTGCATCACAGCTCCCTGCTGGAGTTCAGCTGGGGTGAGCAAGGCCGGGGTCAGCACCTGCACCCGAGCCACTGAGCCCAGCATTCAGTGCAGTCCTGGGCCGGGGAGGAGAGGAGACTGCGCAGGGACTCAGAAGTCCTGCGGCTCCTTCTTAACTTACTTGTTTCTTTGCTGTTATTTTTTCTCTCGTACTTTTTTTCCTGTTAAGGATGCCACTCATTTATTCCTTTGAGTCTTTGGGACAGTGACATCTTTCCTTATTACACATTGCTCCCACATGACTCAGTTCTCACTTCTTTACTCTTCCTGAATCACGGTAATCTACCCTCCTACCAGTAGAGAAGCTATTTGAACAGCTGGGGTTGGGCTTGCCTGGAACCAGGACTTTCAGTGTGAAAACCAGGACAGTCCTTGGTGAGGTCGTTCACTCTGTGGGTAAAGGCCACATTCAAGGGGATGGAGAGGTGTTGGGGAAATGAGGAGAGGAGGAAGGCTTCTGAAGAGTTGGGACATTATAGGCTTTTAACACAACGCTAATTTTATGTCTTTTCTTTCCATATTAATAAATAGTATTCTTGCCCACAAACTCGCCAGTGCTGTTTGGACTCATCAACCTGTACAACTGCCCATTTTTTACCTCCTGGTCTCATCTCTCAATAGATGTTTCCCAGTTCCTCTCCCTTGTTTACCTAACTTGGTCTCCTTGTAAGTGCTTTGAAATCCTCCTCTCCACCAATACACAGTTGTGATAGATACCATGTAACATGTAGAGGAGACGCCGTGCTCAAACACTGGATTCATACATCCACGGGCCTGGAGCAGAAACCAAGTGCAAGGCAGGGCGTACAGGTTGATCTGAGGATGCACTCGGCTCTGGATGTGCAAGTGGGTAGTAGTTGCTGAGGGTTTGGCTGCTTTGGGTAAATTGCGCCTTACAGTTAAGAGTCCCGGTGTGAGGCAGGAGCCACACCACGCTCTAAGCCTGCAGCCGGAGGAAGCACGGGCCTCTCTGACTAATGAAAGTGAGTTAGGAAAGCTTCCGCCAACCACTGCTGAGAGCACAGCTCAGTGCTGTGTGGGAGATGCTGGGGGTGTGCGGAGAGAGCAAGGAAGGCAGAGGGAAGCCCTTCCACACAGGACAATCCTGCAAACCCAGGGTAAGATGCACCAAGAATCTCACATCAGAAAGACAGTCAGTGAAATCACTAACTGGAGTTGAATTTTTCCAGAAAGAAAATAAAATACACTGAAAAAAAGGATAGAAAATATGTATGTTTAAATCTCTTGTAAATGAAGGAATTACATCCCTTAAAATGATATATGCAACCAAATTGGTAGCATAGTACAAGATAAGCCGGTAAATAAAAAATTAGAAATGGTGAAGGAAGATATAGCCATTTGCAGAGGGAGGGGACACATAATATGATAGATTCTAGACTAAGCATAGTTGAAGAGAGAATTAGCAAACTGGAATTCATCTGGGCTGTCACAGTGACAAAGGGCTTACACAAATAGAGGATGGCAAGGCCTGTGGCTAGGTACAGATGCAAAGGCTTCTCAAAGGAGGTGTGTGAGCAGTAGCCTGACCAGGTACAATGTGAGCCTTGTGCATGTAAATAAAAATCCATCAAATAAGCCCATAGATGCACAATATCCATGTTTATTTTCTAAATTGTGAGGATTAAGTTAAATAACCTCAGTGAAAGTACCAAGCCTAACACCTGACCCATAATTCCTCTATGTTCAGGGGGATTTTGACCACCTTTGCTGGAGATCAGCATCACACCAAGGGGACCTGAACTGATAGCTGGTCTCTCGATGGAGTAATGGTGGATCTATCTCTTTGGCAAGGTGGCTGGAATACTGTCAGTTGTCTGCATGCCTGTTTTCTCCTTCTGCTCTCTCCTTGAGAACAAACTCTGATTCCCCCTCTAACATTAACTAAACAAGCTAATTGCATCCAAAATCCAGAGATGACATTTTAATAAATCCAGGCAGCCTGGCTAGTAATTTTTTTTTTTTGTTTTTTGCAAATCTCAAAATGTCATCAGGGTAGCTCTCGGCATTTTTGCCTATTATGTCTTGCCTGGAACCTCAAAAGAACTCTTGACAGAGGTCATGAAAGTGAGGAGACGAAGTCACCCTCTTTCTGAGCATGGAACCTTTTCAACTAGAGGCCCCGGTGAAAACATTCCCTCCTGAAAAGAACAAAATAAGACTGGCTTCCAGCAAACAGCCACAGAGAGCAGCTTCTTGGGACGTGGGAATCTGAGCACTGGATTGCATTCAAAGAAAATACTCTCAGAGTGATTCCGAGCAGGTCCTGGGGGCTCACAGCACCCAAAATTCCATACTGAGAGGGGGCTGGCCTCTGCTGGGGCTGGGTGGGAGCTGGGTATCAAAGAAACTAAACTAGGCTGGGGCCTGCAAGCCAGGCCATCAAGGAGGAGGCAGCCCTTATCTCCCCCAGCAAGGCCCACAGTGACAGCACAGCTGAGTCAGCGATACACCACAAAGAGGAAGCAGTTTCTGTTTGTTTTTGTAACCCTGAGAGAGAAACACATCCTACCCTCTCTGACTTCTTAGGAAAAAGTTGTTTGAAGAAGAAAGAAAGAGCATCCCCTTTTGATGTGGCTAAGATCACTTCTGTGCTCCTCTCACAGGGCAAGGCAGGTTAGTGCTCTGGTCCTCCCTCCCCTGGGCCCTGGCTCTCGGCCAGAGGGTTCCCCGATCCCCATTTGCCATCTTCCTGGCAACTCCGTTCTGCCCTCGTCTGTATTGTCTCACAAGGCACAGCTATGAAAAGTTTTCCCCTGGTTACTCTGAGTTCTGTGTGTGTGTCTGTGTGTGGGTGGGCGTGTCTGTGTGTGGGTGGGTGTGTGTTCCCCCAAAATTGCACACCTCACCAACTATGAATTATTGAAAAGAAAACAATAATGAACAGACTAGTTCGACTTTGGCTCCATGGAGGGGAATGTTTATGCTTGGAATGGCAGAAAATAACAGGAATTGCAGAGAGAAACAGTAGGATTTTTAGTGTCTCCCACATCCCATAGCATATATTTCCCCGTGTTATCGTTTGAGGAAGAGGAAAGAAACTTAAGTTTGTGTTACATTGAAAATAAAATTTTAAAAATGACCTTTTGTGGTAAGAAGAGGGAGGAAATCGTTGCACATTGCACACAGCAAAATGAGGGCGTGAGGTATGTATGAGCACATGGCTGGGAGCCCCTCTTCCGGAGGCCTTCCTGCATGCAGATAGTTTATTTTTGGTGTGTCCACTTCATACACATATGCAGCTTGAGAAGCGTCGTGTGTGTGTAGTACAGGGATTGAACACAGGATCTTTGGGAGCTTTATGCCCAGCTTTTTCTCAATTTTTTATTTTGAAACAGGGTCTTCCTAAATTGCTGAGTTGCCCAGGCTGGTTCAAACTTGGGATCCTCCTGCCTCAGCCCCTCAGAGTGCTAAAATCGCCAGTGTGCACCACAATGCCTGATGAAATGCGTTTTTAGTAAGATCTCAGTTCCAGTGGTAAGCAAGCATAAAAGAGTTTAAATAGAAGAGACCAGGCTGAGAGTGGCGCGTTATTCAGCGATCAATATTTCGTAGGCAGAGTCCTTGTGTTATAGTAGACTCGTATGTGTCTGTTCTTCGAGGTAATGCAGAGTGCCACATAGCAAGCAAAACTGGACTCGATTCCTTTCCTCAGGGACCATCCTTTGGTGGGGTCCCCTTAATCATGCCACATAACCAGTGCCACCCGCAGAGACTGCCACCCTGGCTATGTTTGAGTAGCAACAGGCTGTAGATTCACAGTTAAATCCTTCTTAAACCCAGTTCCTTCTCTTAATGAGAAGCACAGGATGCATCTATGTTCTTTCCTTATGCTTCCTGACTTAGGAGTTTTGAAATACATCTGCTTTTTGAAGTTAGCTACCTTTCCTCATGTGATTCTAAAACCACAGCCCCTGTGACACCCAGAAGAGTGCCCGAAGGGAGATGTGACCAGAATGGCTCCATACTCTTAGAGGAACGTCCAGGCCACATAACGCTCCTGGTCTCCCTTCCCTCTGCCTCTGCCTTAATAAGAAAGGCATTGTACAGACCGATAGCTCAGAGCTTGTTTCCGTGATCCCTGCAGGGGGAGAGACTTGGAAAAAGAGAACAGAGATCACCTGCTCCTTTTTATAGAGCAAAACAGTCATGAAAGCAAAGTAGAAGGTCCTGGCTCTGAGTGATCTTTTTGGAAAGCAAGTTTCCAATTCAATTAGCATTTCTGAATAGCTGTATGTGGGGACTGATTTTTGTGTAGTGCTGGTTAAGTACACTCATATAAGGGGAGCATTTAAAAAAACAATGCAGGGCAGAAGCAAATAATCCAATTCATCCATTGAATTTAACCAGGGGTATTCAGTGAGTCACTAACAGCTCCACCGTGGTGGGAAGGTGACTGGGTGCCTCTCCTGAGACCAGATTCTCAGGCGTCGCTGTCAGCAGCCCCACGCCTGTCTCTTGGTGCAGTCTGAAGTGAGCCTAGCAGCTGCTCTCCTGCCATAATTCAGCTATTTTATTTCTATTTTAATCAGAGCAGATTTGACCAAACTAGCATTTCTGGACATAATCTGCATTGTATGACCTCTTTCAGCTAATGAGAAACGGCTCCCTCTATTCATTTGATGTGTGTGCAAAGCTAATTTATCTTGACCAATATTATCATGCTAATTATATAAGTGCAGTTTGGCTCTTTCAGGCAATTTCTATTATAAGAGCTCTTCAAAATGTAATGGAAGAAAGAATAAAATAGAGCAGACATGTAATTAGGGAGATTATGAAAATCCTTTCCCAGGTACAAAAAAGTGCAGTTGTAAGCTTCAGAATTTTGGTCTCTGTATTATGATGCTTGTCTCGTCCTCCGGGCCAGGTGGAGGCTTCAGTTCCAGGGAGCAAAATCTCAGATAGACGTTCTGGTACCAGGAGTGAAACAGGCAGGGTTCAAGGGCTCTGTCATGTAGGTGAGAATTGGAGACAACTGGACCGGCAGGAGGGTCCTTGCCCCAGGGCCAGGCACTGAAAGTCTTAAGAGAATGAAACCCAGCATGGTCAAAGAAAAGCCAGAAAACTGGACTAAATTTGGTGTCTTGGCTTACTAAAAATGTAGGGGTCCTGGCTTACTAACTCTCTGTCTCTCTCTCTCTCTCTCTCTCTCTCTCTCTCTCTCTGTCTCTCTCTCTCTCTCTCTCTTTCCTGAGCTGGATCAAATAATTTTATCCAAAGTTAGGACTTAACAGGCTACCTTAAAGAGAGACGTGGGGAAGAACAATCCAAGTGTTTTCCCCTCTCCATTCTCACCGTGCAACGTAGCAACTCTGACACTGCATGTGGGGTAGGGAGATATTCCGCATGCACCTGCCAATTCTGGCACACACCTGCTGGTGTCCTCTAACTCAGTTCTGTTCTGATACATCTACATGGAGATCCTGTCAGATCCCACAGGCTGAAGGCTTGGCCCCACGTTCAGATGCTGTTTGAAAGTTTCTTACCAACTGGCTATAAATCAGGATTCCAGTAAGTATTCTGGAATGGTTCACTGAACTAAAGGAAATACTTTACCTGTGTCCACCCACTTATAAAGGCTCTACAGAGGATGCAGATAAATAGCCAGGTGGAAGAGATGCACAGGGCGAGATGTGGGAGAAGGGGTGTGGGGCTTCCATGCCCTTTCCTCTCCAAGCCCTGCCACCAGTTCAGATACCTGGAAGTTCTCTGGTCTCTGTCGCTGGGGTTTTATAGAGGCTTCACTGTGCAGGCATTAATTGATTATCTCATGGCCATTGGTGATCAACTCACCTTCAGCTTCTTTGTCATCCCCAGTCCCCTAATACTGCCTTAGTCTCTCCACTGATGTGTACCCAACATTAAGTTATTTAGGGGCTCACAGTCACCAGTCATCTCCTGAGCATACAAAAGACACTCCAGGGATTCCAAGAGTTTCAGCAGCCTCCTCTGCTCCACACAACACTCCTTTCATAGTGAGACTTGAAAATGGTCCAAGGGTTTGTTGGAGCATCCACCAAATGGTGAGAAGATGTAGACAGCCTCTCTTGCTTGCCAGCCACTCCAAGATAAAGGAACTTGATACGGATTCTTCGGGAATCCTAAGGAGCAATTGTCCTCTTGGCCTCTCTTTGCTTCCCAGATCCTGAAGCAGCCAATGACTGAAGACCCTTCTTTTTCCCCTGCTCACTATTACACAGGGAAGCCACACAGCTCCCCACCTTGACCACAAGGGCTTCAGAGGAAGCAATATGTGGAACATGAAAGGCAAACAACACTGACACCCTCGTCCTCCTTTCTCTAAGGGTGAAACACGGGATGGAGAGTCACAGAAAGTGAAGGGCGTCCATGTTCTGGGATTGATTCCTGGTATAAGTGGCAGCACATGGGCTGCTTTGGGCAGACAGCTGTTTTAGGCTCAAGTATAATCAAGGCCTTCTTGGTGCTGGTACCTGTGTTTAAGGGCAAATTCCAGATTCTCCGCCTGGCCAGCCCCTTTTTATGTTGGTAGCATTTTACCTTCTAAGCAGCTCTTGCCTCTCAGCCTGGTTTGGACCCCTTAAGCATTGCTCCTACCCACAGCACACTGCTCTTGCCTTACCTCTTACCAAACCCAAACTCCCTATTTGTCTTCACCTCTCCTAGGGCCAGCGCCACCCTCTGATCCCAGATTTGCTGGGCTCATCCCACGTCATCCTCAGGCCAGGCACAGGAAGTTGTCTGGGACTCTCCTCTCTCTCATGGCCACCTTCCTATCCTCTCCTGCTGAGATGATAGCTCTAAACTGCATCAGGAAAGAGAAAGCCTGCAAAACACTAAAAGTTATTAACTGGGAGAGATCTGGAAATTCAGGTTTTTTCAGAGTAGAGAAAGAAAGCTCAGTGCTGGAGTCTGAGGAATTAGGAGGAGACACGCTGCCTGCAGAGCTGAGAGGGACAGACTGGCTACCAGCTCAGCCTCCTGACTGCCCTGTCCTCAGCCTGGCCAGCTGAAAATGGGGACATCCTATTAGGAAGAAATGTGGCTCATTTAAATGTAGTGTAATCGGAGCAAGGCGGGCAGCTCACCCTTGTGCCAAACTGCAGAAGGGCACCATGAAGCGGTGGGGGACACACCTGGTAATCCAGGGACTCGGCTGCTGTCTGGACTGGGAATATAGGAGCTCAGAGAAAAACTCCACTGCTTTCCTAGTTGCCACCTGCTTAGTCAGAAACTGCAGTTGGTCTGGGTAAAGTGTTCATTCTCTATAGCAACAAGACAAATTGTCCCAAAATTTAGCAGCTTAAAACAATGAATTTTTTCATCTCACAGATTCTGAGGGTCAGGAGTCCCGGCTCTCTGCAGACAGCTCCTCGGGCTCTGGATCTGTCCGGGGCTGCACTGAGGTGACGGCTGGGCCTGCAGGCGTCTCTGGGCTGTTTGGGGAGCATCTGCCTTCCTGCTCATTCACAGGGTCCCTCTGGGCCCTGGAGTAAGGGTCCCTTTGGGTAACAGCCTTCATTCCCTGCTGGCTCTCAGCTGGAGGCCTCTCCATTTCTTCTTATGTGACTGTCTATGCAAGGCAGCTCGTAGCATGGTGACAGGTTTGTTAGAGCTGGCAAGAGTGACTTCTGTTT